TTTTGATGTTATTATAAACGGAATTGGTTTATTAATTTCAGATTGCTCATTGCAAGTGGTTTTTGTATATTAATTTTGCAACCTTGCTGAGTTAATTTACTAGATACAGTAGGGATTTTTTTTTGGCATGTGCGGGGAAAGGAGGGTTCTCTAGGGAGTTCTACATATATTAGGAAATGGATGATATGTAATAGACAAACAGTTTTACTTCTTTCCTTTTCTTGTCAAATTGCCCTCACTCAAACGTCTAGTACAATGTTGAGAGGAAATGGCAAGATTGAATATCCTTGTATTAACCTTGACTTTAGAGGCATAGTTTTCAGTCTTTTAGCTCTGGTATTCTAATGAAATTGGAGTTCTATTTACTATTTTGTTGAAATCTTTTAACCTAATCATGAAAGTGTGCTGGATTTTGTCAAGTGTTTTTTTCTGCATTCATTGAACTGTTCATGCATAGTTTTCCATTCATTCTTTTGATATGACATATCACACTGATTTTTGGATATAAACCGACCTTTTCTTATTGGCTGCTAGGTTCAATTTTATCAAGGCCATTTGCAACTGTATTCATAAGGGATTTTGGTCTGTATTTTTCTTGTGTCTTTGTCTGGTTTTGGTATCAAGGTAGTACTTATCCCACAGAATGAAATGAGAAGTGTTCCCTCCTGATTGACTTTGGGGAAGACATTGTGAACAATTGGTGTAAATGCTATTTAAACATTTGGTAAATTTTACCTCAAAACCATCTTATCCAAGGGATCCAAAATAACCAGCCCAGTTTCCTTACTTGTTACTGGTTCATTTGGATTTTCTATTTCTTCTTGAGTTAGTTTTTGTAGTTTTTCTTTCAAGGAATTTGTCCATTTTAGTTAGGCTATTTAATTTGCTGGCTTAAAATATAGTGTACCCTTACAATTTCCTTTTAATTTAATGGTAATACTTCCTTTCATTCCTGATTCTAATAGTTGGTGTGTTTTCTTTTTGGTTGATCTAGCTAAGTATTTATTTATTAACTTTGTTTATATCATTAAAGAATCAACTTTCAGATTTGTTTCTTTCCTTCCCCTTGTCTGTTTCACCTTTTTTTCTGTTGTCTATACATGTTCCTTTGTAATGTTTGCTTTGAGTTAGTTTGCTCATCTGTTTCTATTTTATTAAGCGGTTATTGCTTTGAGATTTTATATTTTAATGTAGACATTTTCAGCTATAACGTCCTCTGAGAACTGCTTGTACTGCATCCCATAAATATTGGTATGTTGAGTTTTTGTTGAATTCTCAAATTATTTTACAAATTCCTTTGTGCTTTCTTCTTTAATCCACTGGTACTTTAGGAGCATGTTGTTTAATTCACATATTTTTGGATTTCCTTCTGTAGTTTATTTATAATTTTTTCTATTATGGTGTGAGAATATACTTTATATGATCTCAATTCTTTTAATTATTGTGACCTAGCATATGGCCTATCCTGGAAAATGTTCCATGTGCACTTGAGAAGAATGTGTATTCTGGTCTTGTTGGGAGGTGTGTTCTGTAGATGTAGATGTCTCTTAGGTCCAGTTGGTTTATAATGTTGTTTATATCTTCTATATCATTGCTTAATGTCTGTTTAATGACTTACCTATTGTTGAGAGTATTGAAGTCTCCAAGTATTACCGTTCAATTGTTTATTTCCTTAATTCTATTGATTTTTCTTGAGGTATTTTAGAGGCTCTATTGTTAGTTTCATACATGTTTATAATTATTATTTCTTCTTGATAGATTGATCTTTTTATAAAATGTCCTTTGATCCGATAACAATTGTTGTCTTAAGGTTTATTTGTCTGATGTTAGAATAGCTATTCTAGTTTTCATTCTTTAATTTATTGTTTACATGATGTATCATTACCATTCTTTTACTTTCAAACTATTTGTATTTTTGAATTAAAAAAATATCTTGCTTTTGAATGAATGATTCACATTAATTACAGATAAGGTAAGATTCAAACTCACCACTTTGCTTTTTATTTTCTAAAATCTTATAGGGAGTTTTTGTTTGTTTCTCACTTCCTATGTTAAAGCCTTCTTTTATCCTAAATTATTTCATAAAGCAGTTGTCCTTAAATCAGATAGAGGAAAAGGCTTATAAATGAAAACTACATCCACGTCTTTTATACTTATGTGTATAGTTACGTTTACTGTCTTTATTTTTTCCTATGGATGAAAATTATTGTCAAATATCTTTTTATTTCACCCTAATGAATTCTGTTTCATTTATTTTTTTCAAGACTATAATTTCTGTTTGATGCCATTTTATAGTTTTACCTCATTATTCATATTCTCATACTTTAGTTTGATAAATTCATTCATTTATTTGAAAATATTTAAAATAACTGATTTAAAGTCTGAGTTTCCTTTGGAACAGTTTCTATTGCTTATTCTTTGTATATGAAGAAGTCATACCTTTTTTTTTTTATTTGTTTGAATGTCATATATTTTTTGTTGTTGAGAACTGAACATACCAAATGCTCTATGATGTGGCAACTCCTTACTTCCCAGGGTTTGCTTTAGTTACTGCTTATTGTTTGCTTAGTGAGTTTTCTAAGCAAATTCTGTAAAGTATGTATATCTTTGTCATTGGGCACTGATATCTCTGCTCAGTTAGGTTAGCCAACTAATAACTGGATAGAGATTTCCTTGAATGCCTGTAACTAATAAGTCTCCCCATCTTTGTAGAGGACTCTGTACATGTTGGGGCACAGCTTCAACATTTGTACAGGCAGTTTATAACTGTTTCCACATTTGGTTCCTGTTTGCACAGGGCATAAATGGTCAGTCAGAAGTGAGAGCTTAGGACTTTTTCAGGTTCTTTCCTGAATATGCTCACCATACTGGGCATTTGCATGGTCTAGATTTCCAGGAATATGACAATTATTTTCAAAGCCCCTAAGTCCATGTCATTCCTCAGTTTAGCCTTTTAAGCTTTTTGGTTAGCATATTGCTGGCTCCAGTGGCACCTGTGAGAACATAGGCAGTTATGATAGTAAAACATTTGAAAAACATTCCCCAGGAGAGAAATTTAAACACTGGATGATATCACACGAGGGCAAACCTTTCAAACTGGGCCTTTTAGGAAAGATTAAGTGAAACAATAACTCCTCTTTGGGATGAAAATTTGCACAAGTTTTCTGGCCCCCATTACTAGGCATATAAGTTGTTACTTTTCAAGCCTGCCATAGTGTTAGGGGACAGAGATTAGAAAGTAGAACAAGTTAAAATACCATAAAACTCACTGTTCTTACCAAGATTCAGCTAATTTTATTCACCAAATGCTTCTTGGATTACTATAAACATTTCATTAAAGAGTTCTGAAAAAAGCAGATTTGGGAAATTTTTGCTGATTTTTCTCAATACTTGTATAGTGGGGCAAATTTTCAGAAATTATTACTTCATTTTCACTGACACCAGTCTTTCTGTGTTTTGCAACTGTGTCCTCTGGAGCCAGAGTACAGGTTGGGGAGTATACAATGGTGGAAGAAGATGCATAAGGCTGTGCAAAGATTTAAGATTTGGGTTCAATCGGACTGTAAGCCTCTATCAGTTTCTGGCCAAGGTACCTTCCTTTATAATAATCAATTTGTTGAATTGGTTAGTGCTTCATAGTGCTACATCTTGAACTTCATCTACAAATTGTGGTGCATGAAACATTTGTGACTATATCCTTTTTCTCAGGTCTATTTGTGATTAGGGGAGCCCCAAAGAAATATTCCCTTCTCAAGTGAAACTGACTGTGGGTGAGAGTTATGAGTTCTAGAATTCAAGGTTTCCCCATGAAAGAGGCTGAGTAGAAGCTCAGAGATTGATTTGAAGCTGCTTTCACTTTATGCAGAAGATTCTGAAGTATTCATTTATCCAAGTATATTGATAACAATGGAGAAGACCTTTATATTTGTAGGTTTCTCAAGGCTTAGCTTTTAGTTCCTGATACCACCTTAAAAAAATATTTGTAGAATTGATCATGCACAATACCTTTGGAATTGAGCTGCATTTTCAAATTATATTGCACCCAAAGCTTGAAATCACCTGACTCTGGGATCTGCCCTCTAGGGTGGTTAATGAGTACTTTCTTGTATTGTGATTTGCTGGGTGAGGTGCTTTCCTGGGTGAGTAGACCTGACATCTGAGACCAATGAAGTGTCTCTAAGGCTTCCTCTTGCCCCAGGGTAGGTAGAAGAACAGTGCCCTGCTGTCCAGAATGATGGCTACTAACACTTTCTTTTGGAGGGAAAAGAAAGATACTGCTCATGCTTTCTGAGCATTTCAGAGAAATAGAATCAGGTTAATGATTTCTGTGAGTCCCCTGGAGCCTCCTTTTATTGCTGACTATCACACCAGTGACATTGACCTTGGTGCTTATATTTGTATCACAGTAATCCTGTCAATCTCTTTAGGTAAAAATGCAGGTAAAATGGTACCTTCCTAGAACTTTTTCAGAGTAAGATGCTTCTGCTTTCTCTGGCAAACTAGGGGATTGCCTATCCTCTGAATTTTGACAGCTTGGATCTCATTTGGGTGTTTGACTGTTTTTTTTGATCAGATCTAAGTGGTGGGGGTGACTTGACCTGGATCTCCTCAGCTGGTTTTATAGCCACAGCCTTGGAGTGGGGTGGGGAGGGGTGGGGAAGAAGGCAGAATGTGGGCTCCTTCACCAACTTCTTAACCTTTCCAGGGTTCTGCAACTACCTTAAGAGTCATACTGCTCTCCCCAGCTAATTGCTCCATTCTCAGCATGTAGGGGCCAGGAGTTCTTGTCAGCCTGACACCTCCAGGCTTTCTGTTCTATCACTGGCAAATGCACCTCAGTACTGTTTGGGATCTTCCCAGGGAGTTGCCTCCCCAGCCTGGACCCAATGCCACCAGCCTCAGCTTTCACTGAGCTGCCCCCGCAGCAGGAACAATATCCTTTCTATTGGGAGTCGACTGGGCTGCCCTTTGGAGAGTGTTGTGTGTAACGTGAGCTCCTGTCCAGAGAGAGCAGGGAGAGGCCCCCCTCACCCGCAGGCTGGCCCATCTCATCTGGTGCTGCCCAGAGACGGACACTCCTGCCACATCTGCCTTCTAAGGCTGGGGTGGTCGCCCCCAGGAGAGAGCCCCGTGAGAACAAGAGGCAATTTTGCTATGGCCACGCGTCTGGGGGCACTGGCTGCTTCGGGTCTGTACCGGCGGCGCCAGCACCGGCCGAGCCCCCCAACCCCCACACCCGGGTAGGTGGCCAGGGACAGGGCAGGGTGTGTGAGTGGGAGACAATGACCGGAAGGCGGCAGCTGCAGGCTTTTCCTCGATAAGCTGCCTGGCCCTTTTATGATGGTGGCTCAAGTCTTGGGGCAGCGCCTGGACTGGTGACAGTGGTGGGGGCAGAGCGAGACGTAATCTAGCTGGGCTTGATGTCACCTGTGATCCACATTCTTTGGCACCAAGGATGGGGTGCTTTCAGACTGGGTTCATTTTATTACCACTTTATAAAGGGAACCAGGAGCCTACTGGACTTCACTGGTTCTCCAGATCACTAGTTTGTGATGTGAACCCACCTTGCGGTCACACTAAAGCCTGAATTGTTTTACCCTGCTGGAGAACTGCCAGTGTGGGCAAATGATGAAAGCCTCCTTTTTTGGCTGGGAGGGGTACCTTGTGGGGTTCAGGATGGATGGCCGGACATCTCCACGATGGGAAGTGGGGGAAGGGGTACATGGTTGGTGATGGAGTCCTCCCTCTCCCTCAGTAGCTGGGAAGAGGCTCCTGGGTTAGTTAGGTTGCCTTGTCCCCGGGGCTTTCTAGGTGAAAAGGTCCAGTAAGGTGCTGGAAAAAGATCAGTGAGGGTTGTGGTTTCAGGACCATTGGCACAGAAGTGATGGGTGAGACCTCCAGATGAGGAGGTTGGAGGGGATGGGGGGCCAGGGAGGAGACATAGAAGTGGGGATGAGGAAAAGAGATCTGGGAGTCAATGCTGCATACAGTGAAAATTCCACCTGTGGACTCACTGTGTGGCCTTCTGGAGGGGCAGTGGGGACTGAAGCTGTCGCAGATGTCTGGAGGAAGAGGGAGGGTGTTGAGTGGCGAGTAGTAAGTAGAGGTTGCAGAGTGTCACCCCTGGAATACTCCTGGCACTCTGGGGTTTTCTGCGCACTACACAAGCATTGCAGGGCCTCATGGACCTGTGCACTGCACTGCTGTGGGACTGATGGCTTGTTGCTCAGGTGTGGAACCTGAGGCTGAGCAGCTCACCTGAGTGTGGCAGTGCTAGACTGGGAACCCTCATTGGTCAATCAACCTTGAGCGATCCTGGACCTCTCTGAAGTGAGTATGACTCAGGTTGTGGTGATGAGGCAGGCCAGAGGCCATGCTGGAGAGATTTCACATTGAGGACGTAGCACAGAAACTCATCAGGGAGGCGAGGAGAGTGTGTGGTCTGCTACGAAGTCAGGTCTCAGGACAATCCCATGCATGGGTGCACAGATGTTTATATATTACTTGATTATCAACTTACTTTTCTGTGAACTTCTGACTCACTGATCTCTTGCAACAAATTGATTTGTGTTGACTGTCAAGAGTGAGAGCATTCGGGGTGCTGGAGTGAGTTGGAACAGGGGCACAGGTGGTATGCTGTCCCCCTGCTCTGGGGTTTGGCTTCTAGGCAGCAGGGCCTGCCCTTGGCGGAGTGTGCTGTCTAGTGGGGCAGGTGAGGTACCTCTACAGTGTAACTGGGCAGGCTTTATACTCCTTGCTCTTGACTGGAATGTGTGAAGGAGGGGGTGGAATGTCCTTGTCTCCCAGCTTTGCACTCTCCAGGGAGTGAGGCAGCCTAGTGACTTGTCCTGGACTGCACTGTGGTAGAAGGACTCTGGAAGTTTCCAGAGTTGTAAGAAAACAACAGCTTTCTATTCAGCCCACAGCCCGCCTGTCCCTGGCACCAGCTCCATGTACACTGAGCTCCTCATCCAGCTCCACAAGGCCCTGTTGCTACTCCCAGGGTTCCTCCTTGCAGAGGAGGAAATGAGGCCCAGAGAAACTGGCACCCTTTCCTAGGTCCCACAGCTGATGACTGGGGCTCTCAGGATTCTAATGTGCAGTGGGAGCTGAGACCCCAGTTTCTCTCACTGCCTCCTCCACAGGAGATAGTGGCATATCTCTGCTGGTTCAGTGGTTGAACACATTTGCGTTGCTGTCCATCTTTCAGTCTTTGCCCGGTGAGTCCGAATATTTGTGTTCCTCAGAGGAACAACTTGGAGATGTAGCCATAGAAGAATGAGGGGTCCTGTTGCCCAAGGAGTTCTACTCAACTGTACAAAAAGGCCCGCATTGACTGGTGTGGTGCCCACTACGCCAGGGACCTGAGGTGTGGCCAGGAGGAACAGTGTCAGGGGTGGCAGTGTCAGGAGTTGGGGGAGCCAGGAGGTGTGGGAGGTATGTAGTCACCCACCCCTACTTGGCCAAAGGCTGTGTGCAATATGTAGTGGATGGATGGCAAAGTACTTGACCTGATACCCCAGAGACCCAGCCAGGGAACTGGATACAGACCAGCTAAGGGCTGGGTGCTCTCCTCAAAGGCTGGTTGCTGTGGTGAGCATGAACAGGCAGGAAGATGAACAGGCAGAAGAAAGGGGTGTGGTAGGCCTGTTGTGGAGCAGTGCTTGTTATGGTCCTGCAAGAAAATGTGGTAACATCAAGCAGAGAACTGAGGTGTGAAGGTGGAAAGGGATGGTGGATGGGAAGAGTCTCAGGGAGTGACACGAAGCAGGGGCTTTGGCAGAGGGTACAACTGACCAGAAGGAACTGAGAGAGTTGGGTCAGCCCAACAGGAAGCCAGAGGACACGGGGATTGTGGGTCCACCTCCCTTCCCTACCCCAAGCATGAGCACAGGTGCTAAGACTGGGTGCTGGAGAGTGGGTGCGCAGAAAGCACCCTTGGCTAGGGCTTATGGTCTGGGTTTGAGAAGCAATCTGCAAAACCTGGGGCTGGATTTGCCTCCTTGTTTGGGTTTCGCTTTCCTATGGGTGTGGAATTCCAGGCCCAGAGTCACAGGATTTCCTTTTGACTTTGAATCTCTACTAGCTTGGCAGGGTCCTGGTCACTGGGGTGTTGAACTTCCTCCTGCCACTTTGGGTGTGTGCTTCGCAAGGAAAGGGCCTCCAGGTTCGTTCTGTTCTCTGGCAGGAAACCATGACTAAACTGACAAACCCCACCCAGCTGAGTGTGGCGGGCAGCTCAGGGACAGTGCTCTGTCCTTCCCGGCCCTCCTTGTGGAGACAGGACAGGGGAAGGACAGGGTTAGGAGGAGCTGCCGTACAGAGCTCCCTTTCATACTGGACTCTCCCTGTCCCTTCTGCCTGTATCCTGCTTCGTTTCTCCTAAACATGGGCTTGGGGAGCAGGGGGGATTTGGTTCCAAAGCTGCCTGAGGGCAAGTTTACCCTTGTAGAAGTCTAGCAGACCAGTAAGACTTACCGAAAAGCCTTGGGGCTTGGCCTCTGCCATGAGTGGCCCCTCTGCAGGGCATGGAGGAAATCTTGCCATCATATACCCACCCAGCTTCCAGTCTGTCTCCATGTGGCAACAACCTGCCCTTAGAGCACCCCTAAAATCCCTGCCTTGTTCCAGAGACCCAGAGCCCTCTCCTGCCTCCTGGCTCATCCTGCTTGTGACCCCAGTGGCCCTCTAGGAGCCTGGCTCACTCCTCATGCCATGGCAGTGAGGCAGGGATGGGATTTAGTTCCCTGGAGGGCAGAACAGCCCCCCCCAAACACCTGACACTGCTGCTCTGGGCCATGCCCGCCTCAGGGCCCTGGGCTGCAGGGTCACCAGTCTGGTGGGTGTGGGCAGCTTTTTACAGTCATTCTGTTTGGATTCTGCTCCTTCTAGAAGAAGGGCCACCCAGCAAGGCTCCTGGAGGGGCGCTGGGGTCACAATCAGGATGAGCCAGGGTGCAGGAAAGGGCTCTGGGCCTCTGGGACTAGGCAGGGGTGGTAGGAGTGCTCTAAGGACAGCAGTTTTCCACCATGGATGGGTAAGGAAATTTACTCCACATCCTGCTGTCATCCCAGAGCACTCTCACCTCCTCCACTCTAGGTGTTACATCTTTTGGGGACAGGTGAAACTCATTCATGATGCAGAGGAAAGAGCCACTGAAGTCTGGGTCCAACCTGGACTGTGTTGCCTGCTGTATGAACTTGGGCAAGTTACTTACGCACTCTGAGCCTTATTCTCATCCGAAAAGCAGGCTGAGGCTTGAATAAGAGTAGATCCAGACTTGCTGACTTATGCTGAGACATCTCTGTACCCTGGGTATCTCTATACTAGAGACGCTGGTCTCTGAGAAGGGGTGTTGGGAGGCACAAGAAAGTGCTAAGGTGACTACCAACCCTCAAGGGATAGCCTGGCCCAGGGAAGCCTGAGTAGCCTGGGAGCCAAATCAGCAACACTGACAAACACAACACTCTTTTGTGGGTGTTTACCCAGTGCTTTCATGTGTCTTTCATCCAACCCACTTGTAACCCATCCCCCTAGCCATGATGATAGTCCTTCTTGCAGTGGGTGGCTCCGGCCTGGAGGCAGTGGGTCAGAACTGCACGGCCCTGACCAGGGACTCCGGGAAAGTACATGCTGGATAACTGGGCTTTCAGAGTCGGGCACGGGGGAGTGGTGGTTTCTAACTGAGGCTTTGCCTCTGCCCACTGCAGTCCTTGGAAAGGTCATCCAATCTCCAGGCCTTGCCTTGTCCATCTGTAAAGTGGGCTTTTGTGACATGGAAATGCACACACAGCCTTGGCACACACAGGCACGTGGCAGCCACTGTGCAGTCTACCCAAGTTGGTGTCACATGGCTTGGCCTCAGGCCCCATAGTTCCCGGTGTTCATGGGGTGAGGAGAGAGATTTTCCTTACCCTGGAAAATGTGTTAACCTTACGGGGGTAGCCGTGTCTGTGCAGCACTGCGCTGTTCTGAACTTTTCCTTCCTTCTCCCCCACCAGCAACATGTCCAATGCCTTGGCCAATGCCATCTGCCAGCGCTGCCAGGCCCGCTTTGCTCCTGCTGAGCGGATCGTCAACAGCAATGGGGAGCTGTACCATGAGCACTGCTTCGTGTGTGCCCAGTGCTTCCGGCCATTCCCTGAGGGACTCTTCTATGAGGTAAGGGTGCTTCCAGGGCCTTTGCTGACTGCCTTCTTGGAACCCAAGCCCCTGAGCCAGCCAGCTTCTGACCTCGAGGAGCCTGCACCCTGACAGTGCAGTCAGCCAGGCCTTGAGTTGAGTTCTGCTCCTGCCAGCACAGCACCTTGTTCATGCGCCTTGGCCTGTCCCTCTCTTGTGAGATGTGAGGGGCTCCTTTGCTGGCTGCGGTGTTGGAGGAGGGTCACTGGTCATCTGGTTTGCTCAGGGTGGATCCTGAGAGGTCCTGGGGTGCAAAGACTTGGCTTCTAGGAGGGGCTCACACAGTGGACACAATGAACCCCATTCCTAGCCCATCATTGCTGCTGCGCTACAGGCCCTGGTTATAAGGACTCTGCAGGGAGGAGGGCTTTAGGGAAGGTGATGTCTGAGCCGACTTGAAGGAGATGCATAGGTCATGTTTGTGTCGGCAGAACAAACTCTTAGCAGAGGACCAAGTGAGTGCAAAGGCCCTGCAGTGGGGTAGGTGGGCTATTTGAGGAGCAGCTGAGGCAGGTGTGGTGGAAGGGGAACAGCAGAAGAGGGGGCAGCATGGGGATTTTGCTGGACTCAGTGGGCCCATGTCAGGCCTTAGGTTCTCACTATGGGAGATGAGACAGGGCACAGATCAGAGTCACATTTGAACAGGACCCTTCCGGTTGCTGTGCTGAAGGGAGGCTAGGTGGGGCCAGGAGGCAAGGACAGGCAGGACCAGAAGCCAGGTTACTGCTGTGAAGGTGAAGGGCTGAGGCATGTTTTTAACAATATTCCAAGTTGCTCGTTAAAAGAGAGCTATTATAAAGTAAATGATACAAACATTCAAAGAGACAAAACTTTATTCAAAGAAAGGTAAATACTAAAACCTATCACTTCCTATTTATTTCACTACATGTTACTATTATCTGTACCCTTGAGGTTTCTTCTATTCATTTTACCTATGAGGTGGAAAAATGTGGAGGCTCGCTAGACTTCTTCCTAACCCCATTGCTGTTGTCATGTGGCATGTGGGCCTCAGTGGGAGAATTTACACCACAGACACTGGCAGATGCTACAAACCAGCCCCTCCCCCCCCTCCTGAAGCCACCTGGAAAGCACAGCACCGGTGGCGCCTGCAGATTTCAAAGGTGGAGCTGACAGGAACGGCTGATGAATGGCTTGTGGGGGTGGGATCTGACTAGGGAGGTGGAGCAAGTGTCCCTTGAGGTGCCTCTTGGGGAACGCTGCCCTACCTGGAGGCAGTGGGCAGCCCACAGGTACCCAGATGAAGGCTGGCACACAGTAGGTACTCATCACTGAACGAATTCAAACCCTTGTCTCTGTGGGCCACTGGGGAAGACTGAATCCACTACAGCCTAATAAAACTGCACCTTTTGGAACAGGGGAAAAGCATTTTTTAAATAAAATAAAATAAAATAAACATTGTCAGAAGTAAAGAGCAAAAGCAGGCTTGGGTCACACTTTGACCAGTCAAGGCCCATCGTTGCCCAGACAGATGGCACAGCAGTTGCCCGGCTGGTGTCCACACTGGCTCCTGCTGGCCATAGGACGGACGTGCTCCCTCAGGGCCCCCTTCTTGCACTCCCTTCCTTCCAGCTCCCCTCCCTGGGTCTTTCGCGGTCTCTGGGGGGAAGTGGACTTCTCACACAGATGGAAAACAGGAAACAGGGCAGAGTGACAAATGTAATCCAAACTGGATCCTGCTTAGCTCCCAGACCCGGCAGTTGACTTGCTCCTAGACCAACAGGGCTGTAGTCTTCCCACAGCAGCACCCCTTTGGCAGCCAGACTTGCCGAGTGCCCAGCTTGTGTCCAGGCCCTCACTGGACACTTTCCCTGAGTCAGTTCCCTTCCATCACCAGAACTCGCACTGCTGCTGTGTCCAGTCTGGAATGCCCTCTCTCCGGACCTCACCCTTGTTGTAGCGCTCCTCCTCTTGCCTCCTCCAGGAAGCCCTCTCTTGAGGGGTGGTAGAGGTGTACTTCTACCCTGCAGTCACAGTTGCTCAAAGTAGAGTGTATGTCCAGGCTCCCTGAGGCAGAGCCTGACTCACAAAGAGCAATGGTACAGCAGCGGCGATATCGTGATGCGTGATTTGTAACCATTCTCTGCTGTGTCCATCTGCAGTTTGAAGGCCGAAAGTACTGTGAACACGACTTCCAAATGCTGTTCGCTCCGTGCTGTGGATCCTGCGGTAAGGGCTGGTGACAGCACAGCTTCTGTGCCTGGGGAAAGAGAGGGGAGGGCACAGCACCCAAGTCTCTGAACACAGTCTCAGACGCCTGCAGACATCACTTTCCCAGCTGTGGGGCAGGCCCTGGGCCAGGGGAGCATCAGTGTGGACAGCAGAGGGACAGGGTGCCAGTGCCCCACAGTTGAGCAGGACTCTCTCTTCTAGGTGAGTTCATCATTGGCCGTGTCATCAAGGCCATGAACAACAACTGGCACCCCGGATGCTTTCGCTGTGAGCTGTGTGATGCCGAGCTGGCTGACCTGGGCTTTGTAAAGAACGCAGGAAGGTGAGGTGGGCCCCGGTGGGAAGGTGGACCCCGGCCACAGGTCCTCTCTCTGAGTGCAGGTCACTTGGACTGGGACCAATGCCACACCCCTGCAAGCAGACAGGAGAACCCTAACCTATCATCAGGCAGGGAATGAGGCTGGAGAGAGAGAGTGATGAGTCAGGCTCTGGGTGTTCCCCGCAATAGGCAGACTACATGGAGGAGGTCAGTGGAACAGGAGCTGTTAGATGCAACCGATGAGGCACTAGCGCCATCGGCCGCTGTGTACTGCTAATCCCCACGGCTACGTCCCTCCTTGCAGCTTGGCTGAACGCCCTGGAGAGAAGTCACTCAACCAGGTCCCCAGGGTACTCTTCAGTTCAGGGTAACAGCCCTCCTGGCACTGAGTGCCAGGTTTCCTTACCAGGGTTCATTCCTACCTTGCCAGAAGACTTGCTCTTTTCTCCTCACCCCTTCTGCTCCCACTGACCTACACCCCAGCCCCTACAGTTGTGACCTGCCCTCGTTCCCAGAGGGTGCTGCTGCCCCTGCCTCCATCCCAGCCCCACCTCTGCCTGAGGGAAGCATCCCTGCCACCTTCTGGAGTGAGGGTGTGCTGTGTGCCTTCCTCCAGGAACGCCCCGTGGTGGGAGGGTGGGGGTGGGGGAGGGGTGTGTCAAGCATTTCTCCCACCATGATTCTCTGCAACCTCCTCACCAGGCATTCCTGGTGGCTCTCCCCATTTGCACCCCACTGCCCAATCTGCTCAGGGTCTCATGACCTCCACAGTGCCGAACCCAAGGGTTACTGCTAGGTACTCCCTAGACCTCTAAGCAGCTTTCACATGGCATCCCCTCCTTCCTGTGGTGTTTCTTCTTCAGGCACCAAGGATCCTGTGTTCTCGGAGTTTCCTCCTGCCTCCTGGTTGTCCCTGCCCCCTTTCTCTACAGGCTTACCTTCTTCTGTCATGTCTCTATGTTGGCCTTCGCGCCTGTCCAAAGTTCTAGAGCCTTGGATAGCATGTATGTGCTGGGTGAGTCAGACCTCTCCTGGACACTCATGTACCATCTCTGCCTGGTTTTCCTTCCATGTCTCAGATGCAGCAGGTCTCAACTGACTCCTGGTTACCCTGATGACCACGTCTCCCTTGTCATTGAGTGGCACATACTCCATGGGGAATGTCCTTGATTCTGTCTGATTCCCATACCCTCTCCTATCTGGGTGCCTGCCCTCCTTCTCTCCTGTGCTCCTTGCTTCTTCCTAATGAAGCCATAGTGGTCTTGTCCATTTGTCTGGCTCTCCTTGCCTTGTGTCTGTCTTGGCTCTTCAGGGCATTTAGCAGGAGCCCACGTGGCAGTTAATTAAATGAGAGGCTGTGGGTGCAGACAGTGCAGGGGTGGAGGCAGGGTGGATCACCTGTGGGTGAGGGACTGAGACAGTGCTGCCTCAGCTTTGTCCTGGGCCCCAGCTCACACAGCGTTTCCCTACCCCCTGCCTGCAGAAACTCTGAGTGTGCTGGACATGTGTGCTCCAAGCTGTCAGGCCAGAGAGGGAAGCTTGCTGTCCTGCTGATTTCCTCTCCATGTTACCAGTCTTGGGGTGAAGGGAGAACTGCTGGGAAGGGTATTGTGTTCACCTAACACAATAACCCATAAGTCTTGAAGTCCAGTTTTTTTTTTTATGATCTGTAAAGTCAAGTGCAAAAAGGGGTCACCAGGAAGTGAAGTGAAGCAGCTCTCAGCTTGGCCAGCGAGGCTGGAAGAGGCTTCTTAGGAGGGAGTAGGTTAAGGACACCCCTGCTGAGTCTGCCTGGCCCCGTGCCCCACTTTGGGTTTCCTGAGGTGGCTCCCCACTACTGCCCATAATGTAGCTTGCCCATCTAGCTCTCAAAGGACTCCAGTCAGGACTGGAGACACTCTGGGGATGGTTCTACCAACACATGTCTGCATGGGTTTTAGCAGGAGGAATTGGGAATCCAGCCCCGAGCTGACATGCCCCTCGGACTGTGTTTTCTGGGTACCACCTCGTGACCAGCCTGAACTACATTTACAGAGATCATCTGCAAAGGCACCACCAGGGAGCTCAAAGGAGATACTTGGGCACCCTGCCACGCCCTTCACTGAGATCCCCCCCTCCGCTCTTCTCTTGGGCCACATGTAGCTGCTTCCTGGGGTTCTTTCTGCAGCACTCCCTGCTGTGGCTGCTGTGGGAGGGAGTCTGGGAGTCCAGCAGGCGGCACTTGGGAAAGAAAGACTCTCATTGTTCAGGAATTTCTCCTCTGGCCCTTGTCCCCCCACCCCCTGGGTAAAGTCAAGAATCTCAGCTGCTGACTGAGCAGGCCAACACCTCCTGCAGAGGGCAGCTGACCATGAAGTCCCCCTTAGGGGTCTGCACTGAGGGTGTGGCCTGCTGAGATTTCAGGTTCTTTCCTCAAGGGAGGCTGGGGAGAAGGTGGACTTCCCTTTTCGGGTCTGTGCGTCTGTGTGGGAGCTGGCCTGTGACTGGCTGCAGCTGGCCGGGACACCTGGGGCTCACAGCTCGGACCTGGCGCTCAGGGAACTCTCGTTGGTTTTCCCGTCAAAGCTGGGGGGTGGGCCCGATAGCTTCTTGCCACAGAGCAGGTTACAAAGGGCATCTCTGAACTTCTCGGCCACAAAGAAGTACATTATTGGGTCGAGCGCCCCGTTGAGGCTGGTGAGGCAGGAGGTGATGCGGTTTCCCAAGGCTAGGACGCGCTGCGTGGCGCACGAGGTGCCGCTGCTGGGGTAGTGCAGTACGTACACAGCGCGGTTGACGTGGTAGGGCACAAAGCACACCAGGAAGATAGCCAGCACCATGGCGATCATGCGCACCGCCTTGCTCTTGAGACGCTTCTCCACGCGCGGCCCCTGCCGCAGGCTGCGGATGATGAGCAGGTAGCAGGTGACCGTGGTGACAAAAGGGAAGGTGAAGGCCACTGCCAGAGAGACGAGGGCATGGTGGGAAGCCTTTTCCCGGTACAGCTGCAGGCAGACGACCGTGTGGTTGGTCTGCACCGTCTGCGGGCTCACCAGCAGCGGGGCCATGGCCACAGCCACGACCACCCAGAGGAAGGCGCAGGCCAAGTGGGCGTAGAGGGGCCTGCGGAGCTTGAGGGACTTGACCGGGTGCACAATGGCCAGGAAGCGGTCAGCGCTGATGCAGGTGAGGAAGTAGATGCTGGCGTACATGTTGAGGTAGAAGAGAAAGCCGGTGAGTCGGCATGGGATTTCTCCAAATGGCCAGTGATTCCCAGAGAAGTGGTAGACCAGACGCGTGGGCAGGACCAGCACACAGGACAAGTCGGCCACGGCCAGATGCAGCAGGAACACGTTGGCCGGGGTGCCTGACTTGTGGTCCCGGATGAAAAGCCACAAGGCCAGTGCATTGCCAACGAACGCCAGGATGAAATCCAGGAGGTAGAAGGAGGCGAAGAGGACGTTCTCCAGTGGTGTCTCCTGGCCACATTGCTCGCTGATGGCCAGGGAGGAGTTGGCAATCAGCCCTGGGGAGGCTACCGCAAGGCCATTCATGCTGCAGCTGATGCAGAGCAGGGAGATGAGCCTGGAGGGAACAAGCAGAGACCCTGGGACTTGTGAGTGGGCTCAGGTGGTAAGCAGCCATTTATGCAAGTGTCCACAGGGAGCCCTCCAGTCTTCAGTCCCAACTGACCCCTAAATTGAGGAGGGCCCCACTGCATGCTTGGCACTTGTCAGGGACTACTGGGGGCACCTCCTGTGTCCGCCTGGGGGTGAGCACATGTCAGAGGCTCTCTGAACTTGCGCACAAAGCTAAACCAAGCCAGGACTTGGAGTCAGCTGGGCTATGCTGGGCCCACTTCCATTGTGCTCTTTCCTAGCAACAAGGGCAGGCCTGGGATTGTGAGTCCCCGAGTCTAGTCTCTTGGACCAGGGGGATGGAGTCGCACCATGGGGAGAGCAGAGTGTACCCTCGGGAGGAGGATGGGAGGGAGACCCCCATGTTTTCTGCCCTGATCCCCAGGAGTACTCCCTGACTAGCAGATGGGGTTTGAGGCCACAGGCAGGCCCTGATTCTGACAGCCCAGTGCACGGCGCCCACCAGTTCTTCTTTAACTGTCACCTGCTGGTTGACCCTTGCTGACTCTGGGGTCCCTTGACCCTCCCCAACTGGCGTCCTTTGTGGGGTTCCCATGTCTGCAGCTCCCACACCAACCTCCCTGCACTTCTCCCTTAGGGATACCTTGATAGCCCTCCTAGGAGGTCAGAGGCCTGCTCTTTCTGCTGGCACCCGAAGGCCATCTGGGTCAGGTCCCAAGGTCTCTTGAGCTTTCCGAACTCAGACCACAAACTCCATTTGGGGAGAACTATAATTTAGAACCCTGTATGTACTTGGACTTCTGGTCACCAGGGGTATTTTACTACGTGGAGTAGTTTAACTACCAGAAAGTAGATTTTCTCCAGGAAAAGACAAGCATGTTTACATTACTCAGGGTTTCTTGGCCAATGTCTGCAGCCCACCTGTCTCTGGCCTCTCTCACCTAGTTCACTAAGCCCCGAGGGGCCCAGGTCACAGCCTGCCCACCTTGGTGACGAGCCATTTTCATCTGATGAACTCCAGTTCTGGAGACGTCCTCCCATCTCTCCTCCCCAACAGTAACAGATTCCTGTTTTGGTGAACTCAAGAGATCCAAAAAGGAGAGGAAAAGTCCATGTTCCCTTCTTCCCTCCCCAAGACGGGGGGTGGGAGGTGTGGGCAGAAGAGGGCAGGACTGCAGGGCCAGAACAGCCTTGCCCCTGATCCCCACAGCCCACAGCTGGAGCCGGGGAGACACTGCTGACTCCTGCTTTTCACGTTGGGGCTGCTTAATAGGTGTACCATGATGGACCTCATCTGCAGCAAAGTTTCTGGGGCTTCCTGGAAGCCCTGTCTTCCAGCACCCACACTCCTGCTCATGTCTGGGCTGCAGAGGGGCAAAAGAGAAACCAGCATCCCAGGCCCCGAGATAGGAACATATGCTGCAGTCATGGTGCGAGAGGAGGGGCTGTTATGGGGATCCTTATCCTTGGTTGAGCCTGGCTTTGTGCTGAGGGCTGGGAAGGGGAACAAGTCTCAGTTTTCTCTCTTTTAGTGGCCATGCTAATACCTCTGGAAGGGTCTGACGTGGATAGCGGGTACGCTTTGGGGACACAGTGTCAGCTCTGTTAGCACAGCAGCTCTCCACCCCCACCTCAGGGAGGAGGGCGAGAACGGGGAGGAGAGGGAGGCTAGCTGGAGTGGCTGGGGGAGGCCCAGACAATCCCCCTTATCAGAGGAAGCAGAGTGTGTGGCCCAGATTATGGGAGCTCTGGGTCCTCGGGCCACACAGCCACCTGATCTACCCCATCTTGTCACCCCATGGGTGTCCCCTAGAGCTTTCCTACAGGGAAGGAGCCAGGAGGAATGTGAATGACTGGCTGAGGAGTCAGACCAGTGAGTGCCTTCAAGTAGAGGGGAGACACTTTTGTAATAATGTCACATTTTATTTAGAGATGGGGAAGTTCTCTATTGTCTCCCCTTGCTCTAGGCCTTCAGGACACCTGGACTTTCAAAGTAGAGATTATTTTCCATTGCGTTTAACTGCGTTTTACTTGGGAGTGGGTTGGGGACAAATGAAAGTGGCGTGCTGTTGAAATGAGGTGGGGAGGGAAGGCACAGGGGGCCTGAGCTGGGAACCCCCACTCTGGATGCCCCCTCTCAGTGCAAGCACGGCTCATAGGGGCTGACTCCTACTCTGTCTGCCTGAGGCTGACCTGCCCATGTTCACTCTCTTCAGTTTTAAGAAGTCAAGGTTGGCAATCAGCTAACTTGCCCAAGGTCACTTGCCACGGTCACTTGCAGGGACACTGACCACCTCCCAGAGGGGGACTAGCTTCTTGGGGGCTGACATCTCCCCCATGCCCCTTGCCAAAGTTGGGAGTGTGATAGGGTCTCAAAGCTCGAAAGGCATTGTCTGCCCTCCGCCCTGCCTCCTCAGAGTCTGCTCCCAGGATTGGGGGCATAAATTTTGGGACCCAGTGAGAAATGGAAAGTTTAAAAGGTGGGAATTCAAGACAATGACAGCGGAGCAGAGCCCTGAGCTTGGGGCCTGACCCGAGAGGGGGATGGACAGTCTGTATCACAGGTTGGCGAGCCAGCACTGACTTTTCTGTCCTGCCCGGCACCCTGCCATCTGCCATGTTGCTGAAGGCAACATACACAGCACTCTCTTTGGGAGCAAGTCTCTGTTTAAAATGCTTCCAGACTTGCTTCTGATTTGTTGAGGCCTTGTTGCCGCTCCCCCATTTTGGGATATTGATTTTTGAAATGTCGTCTGAAACAGCCCACGCTTCCCTCTCCACGCATCCCTCTGGGACCTGGAGCCTCAGCCTGTGCTGTGACTTCTGGAAGGTTAACTCTGTTCATGGGAGGTCTGTCTGGATCTAGACAGTGTGGGCGGCCCTGTGGGTTAGGGTCAGGTTTCAGGCCTCTGTGGAGGGGCCGGCTGGGGTGGGCATGGCTGTAATGGGGGCTCGAGGCAGCAGTTTCCTCCCTGTGCCTTACAGTCTCGTGGTGAGGTGCATGGGTGCCTGTTCCAGCTCACTATGTCATCACAGAGAGACACCCCGGGGACTGGGGCCCGCTGTTCCTGTCTGGGTCTGCGTTGGCCTCTGAGCTCCCTGCCGACCCCTGCCCAGCCCTGCCCTTACCTCTCACAGCTGGTCCAGGTGGAAGGGGCAGGTGGGCTGCAGCGGTGGTGGTGGTGTTGGCGGGGACTCCGTGCACTTGTGGTAGAAGGGTGGCTATTTAAGCAGAGGAGTGGAGCCTGCCATGAAAGGCTGCTTCATTCCCAGGGGTCCCTTGTGTGGTGGGCCACTCCTACGGCTGCCTCTGCTGCCACCGGGCCTTGAATATTCCAGTGTATCCCAGCCGGCGTGCCCCCCAGCCCAGCCTGGTCACTGAGCGTCACAGAGGCTGAGTGTGTGACTGTCTTCGAAGTCGTGGAGTGGGCATGGGTTGTGTGGGGGATTGGCTGGGACTGACACAACCGGGTGTTTCAGACTAGGATAATTTCCTACCAATGGGAGTGGGGGGCAGGGAGGAGCCGGCTGCCAGGGCAACAGGCCTGGGCCCCCAAGCCTGTACACCACTCACAGTAGAGAGGGTCTTGTGAATGAATGGGGAGGGGGAGGCTGAGGAGTCCTGGTCGAATGAGAGGGGACTCTTTCAGGACACTTGCTGTAGGGTCCTTGTGTCCTGCCCCGTATAATTAGGCTCCATTTGGGCGTGTGGGATAAATCATGGCCTTTATTTTGAGCAGGGCACAGCTGCAGGCTGCCTCATAATGGGGCGCTGTCTGGGCCTGTGGGGATGCAGTGCAGCCGGCAGGCCTGGCTCTGGCCTTTGCGGACTCCTCCTCGGATGGGAGGCCCAGGAAGAGGGCGGCTGTATCCTGCTGGCCTCTGGTCCCAGGTTTCCTTCTGAGGTTGATGTTGAGGCTGGGGGGTGGCTGAATGTTGTCAGTGGCTTCTGAGACCATTTGAGCATAGTTTGTTTCTCCCTGTTTTTCTAAAAATGACATATTCAGCAATAGGGACCTAAGCTACCGGCCCAAAATTCAAAAGATTTTTACAATGTTTTTAGTTAAAACATAGAAAAGTGTATTTATCTTTTCCCACTGTCCTGTGCAGTTGGGATTTTGGCCCACTTTACAGACAAGGAAACTGAGGCTCAGAAAGGCAAAGTACGGTGCTGCAGACAAATCACTGGGAAGCAACAGGTTTGAACCCCAGCACGTGTCACTTCTAGACTCATGTTCTGTAAATGTGTGTGTTTGGCCTGTATTGTTTTTGCACTTAAAGGGTAGAACTCTTTGGTTCCATTTTGATTCACCCAGGGGGGAAAGTCTTCAAGTTACCTTTAGATCTGGTGCTGTGGTCAGCTCTGTGCAGAAGGCCTTTTCCACCTGGGGTTTGCTTATTCACGAGAGCTAGATGCCTCCATTCCATTTTGCTTGGGGCTCAAGAGGCATCAGACAGTGGTCCCTTTCCATATTGTGCTGTGAGTAGTTGTCTGGACGAGCTGGCTCCCTCTAGCCTGAAACAAGGGGATCTGACTGGCCTTAACCAGGGCACTTCTGTTATTGGGGTGACTACTGAAAGTGTATGTTTTTCCCCACCATCCTGTGCAGTTGGGATTTTGGCTCACTTTACAGACAAGGAAACGGAGGCTCAGAAAGGTGAAGGCTCATATTTGTTTTAGGGCATTGCACCAAACTCTCTGGGGTAGTTGAGCTAATTTCTGTATCTTTAAAATGAAAGTTATTCCATATGGGTTGAATGTGTCTTAGTGCTAAGGACGAGTCACCGAAGCTGGGTGAGACAGCTGTCCTTGACAGCCACAGCCAGCCTCATCTATGGGCTGGCCAGAGCTGGCCACTGTGGGCAACTTGGGGGAGTGTCTCAACTCCAGGCCTGCTATGGCTGGTGTGCTGGGTTGGGCCTGGGGACATAGGGTGCCTAGGTGAGAGTGGGGTGGAGAAAGCCCTTCAGGTCTGAAAGGGACAAAGCCTTTGCCACAGACCACATCTGCATCCCATGATGTAGGGAGAGCAAGAGGCCCCAGGCCAGGAAACTGGCTTCTACTCTCAACTGGGTCATGTGGTTAGAGGGGCACAATGCCCACCATTCCTCCCTTCCTTTCTTTCACAAGTCTGGTGGACACAGCTGAGAGCCAGTGGCTTCAGTGGCTTAGTAAGTGCCTTGGGGCACTCCCATGAGCCCCAGCCCTTCACATGTGCTGAGCAGCTAGGGGGCAGATAGCTCAAGCAGACACTGTGGTGCAGGGCACAAGCGCTGAATTGGCTGTCCTGGCCTTAACATCTGCCCATCCCACCTGGTTGGAGGGTGCTGACTTTTAGAGTTAATCTAACTCCTTGACCTGTCTGGGAAAGGGGCCAATACTCGTATCAGGTTGCGGGAGAAGCTGGTGAGAGCTGGAAAGCTTCCCAGTGGATTGGAGGGTACAATAGGAATATTGGTGGATTGGGGTGGCAGGTGGGGAATAGGGAACAAAGGATTGGGGTCTTCGTCTGTCTTTGGGGACCTTGAACCTAGATTTATGCCACCTGTGAGGCTCAAGGAAACAGAAACTATGTTGATTTCTCTCAGAAGCGACCACAGCTGTTGCCCAAGGCAGGGAGTAGCAGCAGAAACTGCTCTGAGGTCCTCACAAAAAGGACTCTGTAAAGACAGTTCCTGGGTTTGGGGCCTCTGTCTGACACAGCCATGCTTGTTTTTGGAGACAGAAAGAGCCTGTGAAGGTTTAGATCCCTCTTTATCTGGCAGGCCCCAAAAGAAGGGGTGAACAGGCCTGGTGGATCCTTGCGCCTCCCCCACTCTGCTGGCACAAAGGGATTTTAGGCAGATATCACTACATGATTACTCACACGTGTTAAAATTCATTTGAAAAATAAAACATTTCTGTGGACGTCACAGAGATGTCTATTCTATTCTACATGATGATCTAGGCTCAGGAAGCATGGATGGAAGAAAAGATGGCCAGCACCAATATGCATTATGCTTCCATCTAGTCTTTTTCCTGGCAGAGGCTTCTTTTTAGGGGCACACCTCTGGCCTTCCTGGTAAAGGATTGGCTCTCAGCTGGGCCCCTGAGACTGACAGGAGTTCTTTAAAGCCCCAGGCCAGGCTCTGGGGAGCCCCCCTCCAGGAGGTGGCTGGGATGCTGGGGAGGCCAAGTGGTGGCCTCATGACCCCCCACCCCACTCCCCACAGGCACCTGTGCCGGCCTTGCCACAACCGTGAGAAGGCCAAGGGCCTGGGCAAATACATCTGCCAGCGGTGCCACCAGGTCATGGACGAGCAGCCCCTCATGTTCAAGAATGACGCCTACCACCCTGATCACTTCAACTGCACCCACTGCGGGTACGTGCATCGCCAGGGCCCTGTGAAGGGGCTGATGGAGGTGGGACTGCTGCCTGGGGCAAGAGGTCCCAGGCGAGCAGAGGGAGCTGTGGAGAGTGGGGTGCTGGGTAGAAATGTAGCCAGAAGCTACGGGAAAGTCCTCTCTTTAGCACTCAGTGAGGACTTGTGGGAGGCCTGCTTGACCCAGGGGATGAAGAAGGGCCAGGCCTCTGGGTGCAGCTAAGAGGAAGGAGACAAGGCCTGGAGGGATAGGGAAAGGAGGGTTGGGAGGAAGCAGGGAGAAGAGAGTAAAAGGGCTATCGGACAACCCCCTTGTGTCTGCCCCAGACACCCTGGCTGGTTTGCAGGGCAAGCCCAGAGAACAGACCTGCTTCTCAGAAGCCCTGACGGTATAGAACACAGGCGCCCTTCTGAGAGGGCTGTGCGGGAATCCCATGCCTGGGGGCCGTCTGGAACACAGGAAGTCCCCAAAGAGACTGGGGATCAAAGAGAGGCTGCTTGGGAGCTCTGCTAGGACAGAGGGGGCCTCTCAGGATGAGGTTCCTGGGGATGGGGAGGGCTGGTATGACCTCTGCCCAGGCACCCTGTGCAAAGGGCAGGGACTTCACTGGGGACTCTGCTCTGTCTTCCAGGAAGGAGCTGACTGCTGAGGCCCGAGAGCTGAAGGGGGAGCTCTACTGCCTGCCTTGCCATGACAAGATGGGCGTCCCCATCTGCGGGGCCTGCCGCCGGCCCATCGAGGGCCGTGTGGTCAATGCGCTGGGCAAGCAGTGGCACGTGGAGGTGAGGGAGGCTACAGCCCCAGTGCCCTGGCCAGTGTGCCCCCAAGGCTTTGTCTTGGATGGCCGTGATGTGGTCCCTGGGGGGGTGGAGGGTGGGGTCATAGCACACCAACCATCACTGAATGGGAAGTGTGCTCATGATGCCGGGGTTGTAGGAGAGGCCTGCAGGTGCCAGACCTGCCACCTCCAGATAGTGTATCTGGAACACCCACCATGTGTGACAGCTTGGGCAGAGCTACTGAGGGAGTGCAGGCCGGTGAAGATGGGGACTTCAGTATCACCCCGCACTGGGGGAGGAGGAGGGCTTGCTGACTCAAGGCTAGTTCATGTAGGTGTCAGCCCCCTCCCTGCTGGCCTCCACTTCCTCTCCATCTCCTGGGTCACTACTCAGTCCTGGCACCTCTCCTCCTAGCATTTTGTCTGTGCCAAGTGTGAGAAGCCATTCCTGGGCCACCGACACTACGAGAAGAAGGGCCTGGCCTATTGTGAGACCCATTACAACCAGGTAAGGCCTTGTTGTAAGAGGGTGGTGGGCAAGGCCTGCCCCAAGTCTGGGGAGGGCAAGAGGAAAGGCTGCTTGCCAGTGGAGCTAGGGGGACGGGGGGAGCCAGCAGGGAGGTGAACTGGGAAGGTTTCAGGGTCTTCCCAGGGTCTTCTTAGTTCACAGTGGGCGCTGAGGTCAGGCCTGTGTGCCTAGACTCTGGGGGCCTGGCCTCAGCAGCCATTAGTGAGAATGCACTCTGTGGCCCAGGACTGTAAGGATTGAGAATACAGTGTAAAATGTGGGCTCTGCCCTCTCCCACCACCAGGGATACTGCCCTGCCACACCCTCCTAGGACACTAGCAAGAGCAGAGGGGCCTGTGGGGGAAGAGTGCTCATCCTGTTCACCCATTTGTCCTTCCCAGGGGGTATTATGATGAGTCGCATGAGGCTATACCCTGATAGGAAGATGTCTGGTGTGGGGAGGGGCTGCACCCCTTGCCCTGGGCTGGTGACCCAGCTGCCTGCACCCCTTTGATACCTGCTTTTGTGCACAGCTATTCGGGGATGTCTGCTACAACTGCAGCCACGTGATCGAGGGTGATGGTAAGGCTCCTCTGTCCCTGTGCCCCCTGCTTCCCCTCTGTGTGGTGGGGCCTGCAGCTGCACTCCCAGCTGGCCCTTACTTTGCACAGCCGGGTGCATGACCAGGCTGGGCGAGGCTTGCTAAAGCCCCGTCTGTCCCTCACAGTGGTGTCAGCTCTCAACAAGGCCTGGTGTGTGAACTGCTTCTCCTGTTCCACCTGCAACAGCAAGCTCACCCTAAAGTAAGTAAGGAGTAGGGGGAAGGCAGAGGGCCGGGGGCCCTCTGCTCTACTTCTGCCTTGGGACCTGGCAGCCTCCTTGGCCCCAGAGGGTGGAGCACACTCCCCTGACTGCTGACGTCCTCCCCAGGAACAAGTTTGTGGAGTTTGACATGAAGCCTGTGTGTAAGAAGTGCTACGAGAAATTCCCACTGGAGCTGAAGAAGCGGCTGAAGAAACTGTCAGAGCTGGCCTCCCGCAAGGCCCACCCCAAGTCTGTGGGCCTCAATTCCACTTGAGAGGCCTGCTGCTGCCTGCTGCCTTTCTCCTCTTCCTGCCCGGTAGCTTCCTGCACCTTTGTTTGCTGCCACGACCCTTGTCTCGTCGTCCTTTGCCTGTCCCCTCTCCCATTTCTGCCCTCCCTTTCTCTACTCGTGATTCTTCCCTTATCTCCATCTTCTCTGGTGTCTCTTCCTCTGCCCTCCTCCACATGACTTTTCTCTTCTTCTGTGCGCTGTGCAGCATGGAGGGGTGCTGGAGCTATGAGTCTGCAAGGGGCCTGTGCCCACAGTCTTCACCCTGAAGTCCTCCAAGGACAGGAACAAATTGGGACCTGGGGTCACTTGGCCCTGGCTGTGGGCTGCAGCCACCCGCCTTGCCCACCCAGGTGTCCCATCAACTCAGGGATCTGCTGGCTCACATTCTTCTGTGAGAGCACAGTGACCCCACTGTGCGCGCAGAGCCTCGGGGCAGCTGCCCCAGCCCCAGGACCAGGTCCCCCAGGAACGGCCCTTCCATCTCTTCACCACATGTTCACTAACCTAAGGAGGATACTGGGCAGCAAGTCCTACCACTGCACCCCACAAGTTTGCAGAAGGACACAACGCCCCCACCAGCACTTAGGCTTCTTTCCTGAAATCCTGCCTTTGCTGTTCCACCCTAGGCCTGGGAATGCTATGGTCCCCCCAAGTTTCTCTGTGACTCCCCATAACTCCTTCAGGGCACACACTGAGCTGGGGAGGACATCTAGGAGCAGGAAGAGCCAGGTGGGTGGCTCATTTCTTCCCCCCAGGGGGGATTCTTCCTTCCTGGACACGCAGGACCTGATGCTGGGATGCACGCCTGCACTATAAATGAAGGCTATACCACGGTTACACAAATGGAGTGATTTGTGGCATGGAAGGTGGTGGGCAGCGCCTTGTGGACATGTGTGTGTGTGTGTGTGTGTGTGTGTGGTGGGGGGGGGACTGTTGGCCCTAAGAATCAGGGCAGGCAGAAGCCCTGTTCCTGTGTTCTGTTTCCAGCCCTCTGCCATCAGGACCTGGAGTCCACAAAGGCTGGCCCAGTGGCTGAGGAAGGCGCAGGCTCCCTCAGGGCCTGTCAGGGCCTGTCAGGGCCTGTCAGCATGGTGGGGGCTGGCTGTTGGATGAAACCAGTGGCTGAGAGCAGGCAGCCTGGTCTTCACCTCTGCGGGCCCTCCTGCAGGGACTAGAGAAGGAGCGGCTGCATGGGGCTTATGTAGGAAAACTTTCCCGTCTGAAAAACAGGAAGAGGGGAGGTGGCAGGAAGGCAGAGAGGACATGAGAAAGGAGAAATGAAAGAAAGCTTCTCCTAAAAATGGAGTTGTCATCCTCGTGTCCTGGAAGGAGTCACTTTTTATTCCTTCTGGAAGAAATCCTTTCTTGACTGGTCATTGCCTCCAAGGCTGCTGCCACCCCAGGCCCCACCCTCTCCTGTCCCTGATATATATCCACTGTACCATGGACATTTTTTTAAAGATTTATTTATTGTGCATACAGAATTGCGGTACAGGCCAGAGGTGCGAGGACGGTGAGAGGATTCACCAGAGACAGAGTGGGGAGCAGAACAGGCAGATGGACAGAGTACACTGCTGAGGGGAGCAGCGGGCGGGTCAGGAGAGGTCTGCCGCACCATGTGGATCTCCTCCGGGGCAGACAGGATTCAAACTCGTGCGGAAGTGGCTTAAGCTTCTTTGTGCTTTTAACCCACTGCGCCACCAGGGAGGGCCCACCATAGATATATTTTTTAAAGCTTTATTTATTTATGCATACAGAACTGTGGTACAGGCCAGAGGTGCGGGGGAAGGGTAGAAAGGATTCATGAGAGACTGCTGGGAACAGAACAGGCAGAGTGACTGAAATACACTGCTAAGGGGAGCAGCAGGTGGGTCAGGAGAGGTCTGTTGACACATGTGGGTAGCTCCTAAGCTGGGGATTCTTGCTGAGGTGGCTGCAGTTAGCTTCGTAGTGCTGTGCTTTAACCCGCTGCACCACCAAGGAGGGCCCCTGTTCCATGGACTTTTGTTGAACGTTCTTTGAGCCATCCATCTGTGGGCTTGCAGGCCTGAGCACTCAGCTCTGCCCTGGCTCCCTCCTTTGGCCTCAGTGGTCAGAACCTGGGGGAGGGGCCCACCTGGGGTGCTGAGGGTTATGGGTTGTGTTTGGGGAGAGGGACTGTGAGAGATGGCTCACAGAGGGCAGGCTCTGGGCTGGGAGGATCCTTGGGAAGTCACTCCAGGATCCCTGACCCTGACAGTAGGAAAGCAGGCTTCCGCTGTTAAGGCTCCGGAAGTGCCCGAGAGCCCCGCTGCTTGTTCATGGCATTCAGGAAGTGCTGCACGTAGGAGGTTATCAGGTCATCCATTTTGTAGCCCTAGACAGGGGAAGGGTAGAGTTGGAGTCTGGGGGTACCAGTAGGGAGAGGCTAGGACCAGGGGCCTGCGGGTACTCAGTTTTTCTGTATGAGGACACTCTGAGCAAGGGTGCCAGGGCCTAAGTTGCCTCCCTCCTTAGAGTGGTAGAGGACCAGGGAGCCCCAGACATTCCCTCGCCCCTTCCCTCATTGAGCCTCCATCTGGCCCCTGCTAGCCCACCCTGGCTCTGTCCAGCCCCTAGCACCGGCGGCCAGGCCCTCAGTGAGGAGGTGGCCTGGTGGCGGTGGGTGTCAGAGCGAGGGAGACCGGGTGCCAGGTGCTTTTCAGTCATGTAGACAGGCATGCCGAGGGGGCAAGGAGCTCACCAGAGAGGTCTCACACAGCAGGCGAGTGCCCCGGCCCAGGCTTCCCAGCACCATGTGGAAGTAGGTGCTGCCGCTGCTCCAGTTGGCGATCTTGGTGAAGGGGTAGGTAGTGAGCGGCTCCTGAGGGTAGAGGGAGGGTGCATAGGAGCTGGCCAGCTCGGGCAGGGCATCCGGGGATTTGGGCAAGCCTGAGTGACTGCTGTGCGGTTCCCCAGAGCCCAGACGGTTGGGGAAGGGGTGGATAGCACAAGAGGGAAGAGAGGACCTCAACCCCGGCTGCACAGGGCTCGGGACTGGAAGGCCTCCCTAGCCTGCTGGGGCCCTGGTGCTACCTTTGTCCTAGGGTGGATAAGAAGAACCCCGTGTCGGTTGATGGCAATGAGGATGATGTCCGGATAGGAAGGCTCTGAGGTTTGCTGGGGAGGGAGGTGGGTGGTCACAGCCCTTGCCGGGGGACCAGCTGCCACCTCCCTGGGGTGTGTACATGAAAGTCACGAGTATACACACTGCTCCCAGCCTTGTACCAGCCCAACCCAAACCGTGTTTTGGGGAGAAGTCAGGCTGGTGGGGCTGGAGCTGGCGGGGCCTGCGTGGGCAAGTCTTACCTTAACCTCGAAGAAGGCAGACCCGAAGGTGGGCCACCGGCAGATCCCCTTCAAGAAGGCCACTTTGGCCTCCTCCACTGTCTTGTCTTTGTGCTTGTCAACAGCCACAGGGATGTTCTAGGGGCATGGAAACCAGTGAGAACCTGAGGGGGTCCAGCAGTGCCTGGAGACCGGACCAGCACTCAGAGCCCAGGTGTTCTGTGTCCCGAGGAGGGAAGGTGTCCCCCAAATGCTGTGGCAAAGACCCAGTCCACCCTCCACACCCAGAGAGGGTCCCTGGCCAGGCCAACCCTCAAGGACCCCTCCACAGCCCCAGCCAAACACCTTTTTCCATTCTTCTGAAGGTATCAGGCGTATGAGGTTCTCAGGCACCAGTTCCTTCAGGATCTTGGGGATATTAGCTAGGTGGGACCAGTCATCATTAAACTTGGCCTTGTAGATAAGGCCTGCCAGGTGGATTGCTTCCTCCCGCGAGCACTTGTGGAACCCTCGAAGGTACTTGGGCAGCTCCTGAGTGACAGACACACTGGGCCTCAGGGGGCAGGGCACTTTTTCTGTGATGGGGGTAGGGACCTGGTGCGTTAGCCCATCCCATCCAGGAGATCCAAATAGCTATTTTGGAGTAGAACTTCCAAGAGAGGGAACTACCATGAGCAGGGAGCACTTACTGACGTCTGTGGGAGTGACCAGCTGTACAGCTACATCTAGCATGGACCCTCAGAGCAAGACTTGTGCACAATCCTTTGTCCTTCCTTACCCCCTTCACACTCCTCTTCAGTCTGCTGCTGATGCCAGTATAGTCATGCTGTCCCTCTGCTCTTAGCCTCAGAAACTTCAGGGGTTCAGGGGGCCCACCAAGGGCCTCCAGAAGTCTGGCCATGGACTAGGTGCCCTGGGGCAAGGCAAGAGCTGACTTGCTGCCTCTGCTACCTCTGAGGGCAGGTGTGGGATGGAGTCAGTGGGGCCTGTATGCTCAGGGGGTAGAGGGTTCTGGCTGAGTACCTGGTGGTAATGGAGGATGGTGTCTGCTTTCACATCCTTCCCTGGGGTCACACCAAGCCATAACTTCTTCATGAAGTGCACCTGATAGGGGAGCATCACGGGGGCCCCTGGCAGGGGCAGCAGTGAGCACATCAAGCCTGTCTTGTGGCTCTGCTCCCTTGAAGGCCACTCTGGATCCATGTCTGAGCTCCTACCCAATCCACTCCCTGGCCCCCCAAGGCACTCGTGGTCCACCTTCCTGTACCCTGCAGCACACACTCCTTGACGCCACTCAGGTCATTGCTCAGGACAGTGCCACAGGGGCTGCCTTCCTGGCCTCCTCCCTTCTGTTCTCTATCCCAGCCACTCCTCATCCTTCAAGACTAGTGTAGAGGGCATCTTCTCCAGAAAGGTGTCTGGTCCTCCCCAGAGGCATCAGGTTCTCCCAGCCCTGTGCTCCCTGTCCTTGGCTTGCCCTCATATCTTGCCCCTGTCAAACTGGAGAGTTCCCAGGCAGGGTGCTCACAGCTCAGTTCCAGGTCTGGCTGCACCTGTCACCAGGGTCATGGAGGCACTCCAAGCATGAAGGACTAGGCAGGCCTGTGCAGGAGCTGCCAGAGAAGCCCTCTGACCTGGCTCAGGGAAGCAGCCGCCCCTGCCTTTGCCTTTCCTCTCACCAAACCTCCTCCCTCCTTCCCTCCCTTCCCCTCCCTCTTTCCCTCTTCCCCTCCCTCCTTTCCTCCCCTCCCTCTCTCCCTCCCTCCTCTCTCCCGCCTGCCCCCTCCTTCCTCCCTTCTTTCTTTCCTTCCTTGTCCCCTCCCTGCCCCCACAGAGACCTCCTAACCTTCTTTCTGGGGCTTGTTCTTCTTCATCCAGTTTGATATCTCTTGCAAGGAGTCAAAGAAGAAGTCTCCCTCCTTCTGGCTGATGACCTGGGGTAGATGGGGAGGAAGGCACCGGGAGACAGGCAGGTTTCTGGGGGAGCTCCTGCTAGGGTGTGCCCAGGACTAGGGCAGCAGCCAGCTGTGGTAGGGGAAGCTGGGGGCTGGAGGGCCTTGCTCACCTGAAGGCCCATAGCCACGCTGGCTGCCTGTGAAGGCTCTACTACCCACCCACTTCCATCCTGCCAGCCTGGCAAAGCATGGAGAGTGCCTGCCCTGGCCACCTGCCCGCCTTCCCTCATGGCCCGAAGGCTGGCCACACCTTGTCTGCAATCTTGATGAAGAGGCTGCAGCCTTCCCAGGAGGTCAGCTGCAGCCGGGTGGCGATGCTCTCACACACGTCTCGCACTCGGGTGTTGCTGTTCACCTCCACCATCTGGGCAGAGAGGTGGCATGTGAGTGTCCCAGGGTGAGGGCAACCTGTGCTGACCCCTTGTGGCCGAACACTGGCTCCCACATGAGATTGGAGAGAGTGTCCTCTCCTGACAAGGACCAGCCTTGCCTTATAAAAGACCGTTCAGATGTTGCATGTCATCACAGTGTTTGCTCTTTGGGGCTCACGGGGCCCAGGGCCTTTTAAAATTGCTTTGAGAATCCTGCAGTCAGACTGTGGGAATTTCCTGTTAGGGTCTAGACTTTTTAAAAAAATTATTATATTAGTTTATTTTTACATATTTTTGTGCATTTTTCTATCTTAGTTACAATCCCCTTGGGTTTCCCATCACCAATGGTCTAGACCATTTTTAAGACAGGAAAGGCCATGGTGCCACAGGGGAGAACCTTGAGGACAGCAGTTATCCCCCATGATCCACTGTTACCATGTGGTCACAGGCCTCACTGCAGCAGAGTCCTGCAGTCTCTCACTTCCCACCTGCCCCCTCTTCTGTCCCTGGCAGTCAACCTGGGGCCCTGTCCACAGGCACAGCAATGGCAGCAGTAGCTCCTTGGGCCCCAGGCAGTGTTAGAAACTCCTACAGCTGCTGGGCTGGGACTGGGTCTTGCTGCCCACACTTCATATCTATGCCTGTGGGACTGTCCTGACTCCCCACTGAGTTAGCAGCCTCCCTGGGCACTTGGGTCATGTTGGTGAGGTACCAAAGAGGGACAAGCAATCTCTTGAGGACACTGCAGTGGGCGGAGTGTGATAGGAGAGCAGTGAAGGTGAGGTGTCCACTCTACTCTGGAAACAGCCTTGTCAGTCTGCTCAGGTAACCTGGGTGGGGGTGAGCTTTGCCCTGGGCTACAAGCAGACCTCAGAGGGCAAGGCCCTTGGGCTGGGGGCTCACCTCACTGTTGTCATTGGGGAGGTAGATCTTGTGACAGATGCGGGAGACCTTCTGCTCCGTGGCCTCCACCTCCACCTGGTGTGGGGGCTGCTTGCGGGGGCCAGTCCTAGAGCAAGACAGTGCTCATTTCATGTGTCACCCTGCTCCCCACCAGACCCAGCTTCCAAGGAGGTCCTAAACTATGTGCCAGATATAAAACAGAAAATGACCTCAGTGGCCACCGCTGAGGTAGCTCCCAGCAGTGCCTCTGCGTGGGTGCTCCACACGTAGGCCCAGGAAGGAGTCAGAGGAACTCACCTCCCAGGTGACCAGAGGTTATGAGGCGGCCTAGAGGCCTGGGACACAAGTGGAGGGAACTGGGCTGGCTAGGGTTACTGTGGGCAGGGTATGTTGTGATCATTTCCTCACATCCCAAGGGTACCAGGCAGGCTTCAGAGATGTGGGCAGAACTCTGAAAACACCCACTTCCCACTCATTGATAGGGCTGCCATTCACTGTCATGGCAGCTCACTCTGCCAGCCTACCCACTCTTACAGCCACAGGAGGCCAAGCCAGGGGGCAGACAGCATGGAAGAGAACCAAGACAGAGTTGTGGGAAGCATAGGTGGGAATACACCATAGAGACTGGCAGGGATGGGTCTCTGCTCTCAGCCACTCTGGGCTAGGCTGGGAGAGAGGCAGGAGGCCTGGGGACTGAGGTTAACCCTGGCATCCAGGCAGTTTCCTCTGTGCCTGGATTGGCCACCAGAAGGTCAGAAGGGGTTGTGACTATGACGGTATCTTCCAGGAGCTTCTATTAACCACCCAGGTCTCCCCATGACTGTTCTGAGCATATCCCTCTTATGCCTCACCAGTGGCAGGGGCCTGCCTCCCCAAACTTAAAGCAGCTTCTGGCTAGAAAGCAGTTTGGCCAATGATGTGTCCCCACCAGACCACGAACTCCTGGCGGCCCACCTGGTCCCTTCAGAGTCCCCCTACTGCTGGCTGGGCATCACCCCCAAGGTGCACGAGGTTGGCAGGCTCACCTCAGGACCCTCTGGATCCGGCGGCTACAGTCAGGAGCCAGCAGCCTCTTCCTCCGGGTGTCTATGAACTTCTGGGCATGGGGCAGCAGTGCCTTGCCAGGGGCAAAGAGGCCTGAGCAGAGCCACAGCAGTTGCCAGCCTCTCTCTTCACTGTACCTGGGGGTGGCAGTGCCTATGAGCCCAAGAAGGACCCTCCTGGAGACCCAGGCAGGTCGGGTACCGCAGGGAGATGAGAAGCGGGGCCTGGCTGCAGCCGTGGCTGAGAAGGGCTGCCGGCCGGCTACACAGAGCCATAGAAGTTTTTGTTTTCACCCCTATGAAGTGGGGAGTGGGTCCTGTTGTGCCCACTTTGTGGAGGACACTGAGGCCTCCTGATCCCAAAGGCTTCAAGAGGCCTCCTGATCCGAAAGGAAGAAATGTTTAGCAGTCTGGGTCCCAGAACAGGGCTGTTTCCATCCCTGTTCTGTACCCCCGTGGACCAGGCAGCACCCCCGAAGCCAGTTGGTCCATGAGGTGCTGCTGTCTCCCTCTGAGAGGTAGGGTAGGAGTGAGGACAGAGGGGGCTGGCCTGGACACACAAGGCAGGGTGTGTTTGGCGGTGTGTTCGTCCCCCCACCCCCAACACACCTATTGGGGTTGTTCGTGAGCTGCTTCAGGATCTGGCAGTAGACCTCATCCTGCAGGGCTTTGTCCTGCAGGGCCAAGGTGAAGATCTGGTTGGTGAGCTCCAGGGGGCTTGAGACCTGCCGAGAGGGGTAGTCACCCATGTACCTGAGGATGGGTGCCACTGTCAAGGAAAACGTGCTGGCAGGATGGCCTGTCATACTGACCCTCACCAGCCTTCAGGGAGCTGCACGTAGCCCCTGCCCTGTGCCCTGGGGTTCCAGGCCCTTGTAGCGGTCAGTGGGCCTGTGAGGTGTGGGTGTGGCACAGGGGTAGGCTGGCTGGAAAGGATATCGATGAAGATCTGACAGGCCACATCGCCCAGCTCAGCGTTGGCATGGACACGCTTGAGCAGAGGTTGCCGCAGCGGTTCATAGCAGTGGGCCCACAGGTGGCCCCGAGGCCTGACCAGGGGCATGGCTCGGTTGACGTTCTCCTCTGGGGTCCTGCAGGACAGAGGCTGGTGTTAGAGCCCACCCCTGAACTTCTCTACCCTTCCTTCTCCTCAGATCCTTCTCTGACCGCCCACCATATGAGCCCAGGGGGGAGAGAGCTCCCAGGGAAGACCAGGGGCCCCACCCTGACATGGGAAGCTGGGTGGCCCTTACACATCTCTGTGGCCATACCTCGAAAGAACACAGAAGGGTTGGTTGAGGCTGGGCCTGAAGAGGGGTGACTGGGTGAGTACCTGAAATATTCGTAGGAGAATTCCTCGAGGGTGTATGGCTTCTTGGGCTCTTCCTCAGATAGCTGATCTGCAGGCTGTACCTCCTGGGCCACCAGCTTTCGCTTTGCTGGTGACATGGCCAGCAGGTTCTGTGGGGACACAAGTTTGTCCTGGGAGGGCCTTCTCACTGGCTCCTCCTGACTGGTTGTCTCTGACTTGGGAGGAGCTGGACCATCACCTGTTGTGTGTTTCAGGATTGGTGACTCAAATCTCTGTACCTATTTTCTTCCCTTAGAAGTGTTTTTTCAGGCCCCCTTCCTCAGACCACCAATCACAGTCGTACTTCACGGGGGCTCTGACAGGTTCCCCACCTTCTTTAGATCGCAGCACAAGTGGCACTTCCTCGGGGCTCCTTCCCGGACAGGACAAGTACATACCCTATTGTTTGCTCCCATAACACTCAACACTATTTCTTGGTGGTATTTTGCACACTTGCCACCTGCCTATGTTTTGACCAAGGACCTATGTTCCTTGAAGGCAGAACTATGACTGTGCAACCTTGCACCGCCAGTGTTGGTGTGGGATATGAATGAGCAGTTAGAATCCTGTGGCTGTACCTCTTATGTGGCTCACCTTGGGGTTGGGTTGGGGTGACTTGTGGGGATAGGTGGCTTGGGAACCCTTGGTTCAGGATCTTAGTGAGGTTGAGTCTGGGGAAAGCACAGGTTTGTGCCTAGGAAATGCCTGAGGTGGGGAGATGTAACAGGTGTCCACTTACTGAGCACCTACTAGTGCCCAGAGCATGCTGGGCACGGCACAAGCACCACCTATGTCATAATCTGCCCAGAGGGACATACAGCTGCCCTGACTCCCAGTAGCCCTTTTGGCCCTCTGTGAAGGAAGCGGTGTAGCCCCCTAAATTAGGACCCCAAGCTGGGTGTCCACGGGTGCTTCTCCATATGTGCACAGGACCCTGGGCTAGGGGAAAGTAAGCAAGAGTTACCAGCAGCTGCACCGAGGGCTTGGTGACTGTAGGGATGATGTAGAGGCAGGCCACAGGCACCAGCCCTGTCTTGCCAGTCCTGTTGTTCTGGCCCAGGACCCACATCTCAGAGGCTGCTGGCCCATTCTTCTTTGTCAAGATCAGCAAGTCTCCCTTCTTGAAGGGGAGGAAGCTGGGATCATCTGTAATTCCAGGTCACATATATCATTTCCCATCTACCCAGGGGTCTGCTGAAGCCAGAGGTAGTGGTGGCATTAGGGGTGGTCTCCATTGACAGATGAGGAAACTAAGGCATAGAACTGTGGGCCTACATCCACTCTGAGAGTGGGTGTTCAGAGGAGTCCAATCTCAGGCCCTCAAAGGGCCTGGACAGCCATAGAGCCTGAGTGAACGGAGGCTAGGACATCCGGCTCAAGCTCCAGTTTTGGGAGACCTGTCTAGAGGCCTGACCAGGAGCCGCAGCCTGCATGTTAAGAGCTGGCTAACAAGCAGCTGGAATTCACAGGCAGTGCCCTCAACCACTGCTTTCCTCATCATAAAATGGAGTCACCACAGCTCCTCCCTCCTGGGGAGATTTAGGTCAGAATGGGCCACCAGGCAAGGTCTGAGGACTGACTGTCTTAGTGCTGAAGCACCAGGCCCAGCCCCCTCCTCTGATCCCTATGAGTCTCTGGCACTGTAGTGCCTGTGATCACGCCATCCCCTAATTTCTCAGGACTGCTCAGATCTTCTCCATTCCTGTGTTAGAGGAGCTGTGGCCAAGAGCTAGACTTTTAGGGTTCAAATCCCATACACCCTGAGCTGCTTCTCTAAGTCTCCAGTTCCTTGTCTGTAAAACCTGGTAGCAGGGTGGCAAAGCACAGGCTGGAGGTGGGAGGTATCAGCCCTACCCCAGCTTCTGCTGTAGTACAGCCTCTCAGCTATATTCTTGGAAGGTTAGTAATCATATCTTTTAGTCTCCTCATTTTATAGAAAGGAGGGCCCAAAGGTGTCCCCCGCCCCTCCCCCTCCACCCCGTGCTCTCCCTTTCTGCCAAGACCCTGAGCCCTGCTCCATGCCACAGAGCCACTGTGAGATGAGCCAGCTGCCCTTTCACTGATGAGTCAAATACCTCAGTGTGCTCCCTCCCCATCCTACTGGGCACCTGTGGCCTTCTGGTCCTGCAGGGCCATGGCGAACACGGACCTCTCCTTCAAGCCTTCCAGAAACAAGGCCACCAGTTCGGCGATGGCCACACAGCTGGGGGATGTGAACTCATACTCCTCTTCATGCAGAGTGGACAACAGCAGTCTCTGTCCGCCATGGGCCTTCCTGAAGGGATGAGAGGTGCCACATTACTAGAGCCCTCTTCTACCCTTCCTTGTTCCAGTCCCTCGACAGCCTCAGAGGGGTTGCCCTTCTTAATTACAGATGAGGGCTGCTGGCAGGGCCAGGTCTGAGCTCAGGTTGCAGGACCCTGGGCCTTGGCAGCTGTGTGTGGTGTCAAGTCAGTCTTGGGAGTTGGCTTTGAGCAAGGAATGAGGTGACTTAGGTGTGGGCCACCACAGGGTCACTTCAAAAAACCTTGAAATGAAGCAGTAGTCTTGGTAAGCCCGTGAGAGCTGCTGAACCTCTGATTGCTTCAGTTTACTCATCTGCAGGCATAGGCATGCTGGGAGGACTTCCTGGCATATAAGAAAGCTCCTGGTAGTGTCAGCCGCTATCTGTGGTGGCCAGTGTGTGCCCTGCTTGTGTGGTAACCACTGAGAGTCATGTCACACTGTGTGTGCTTTAATTTTGGGGAAGAGGATATACAAGGCCCAGCCTGGTTAAAGCTGGTTAAGGACACGCCTGGTTAAAGCTGGTTTAACCACACACACTCAGGCCTTGGTCCTGGCTTCTTCTCCCAAGCAGTCAGTACTTTCCATGTGCCCATGAGAAAGGAAGAGCCTGTAAATGAAAGCACACTCAAAGGGTGCCAGCATATGCCTCTTTCCAGGAGGACCCGGGTTTAAAAGAAGCCTTGAGGCATGGTGCGCAGATGTAGTACTCGGTGGGCAGTGAGCCCATGTCTGAAGGGCATCGGCTGCATAATGGCTTCAGCCCACACTGTACAAGGCCAGATGCCCAGGCACTCTGTGCCCTCCTCTCTTCTAGGGGTGCTGGGGAGGAGAGATTTGCAATGTCTCTTGGCACCTACCTGTTGGTGCCCAGACTCATGATCTCCATGAAAGATAGTTGTAGAAGCATCTTCTCCTTCTGGTCCAGGAAGTACAGCCCCTTCCAGTTCACAGCCAAGACCAGCTGTGTTTTGGGTAGTCGGGGACCTGGCCGGAAGACAGAGGTGTGAAGACTGGACTGGCCCTCAGGCCTCCCCCTGCTCCTTCCTGCAGCCCCCACCCCTGTCAGAACCCTTACCAGAGAGGGTGGTGACTTCGAAGAGCTGAGAGAAGAGCATCGGCCACTGTAGGCGGGCAGTGTCGACCACCTGCTCCCGCACAGTCTGGGGCATCGCCTGACTCTGGGTGTAAGATGCCTGCACCGGAACATGGCATGTCACCTCCACCATTCACCTCTCACCAGACCTGGCTGTCCCTAAGAAGAGGCTTAACTCCCCTCTCTAGTTTCTGTCTTGGACTTTCCTTCCTTCTTCTGGCTCTCCCTTCTCTTTACTACCCTGGCTGCTCTGTGTCCATAACTGACTAACATGTTTTTTTTTAAAATTTATTTATTTATGCATACAAGATTTGGGGGTGTAGACCAAAGGTGTGGGGGAAGAGGAGAGTGTTGGGGGTGGTGAGAGGATTCACCAGAGACAGAGTGGGCAGCAGAACAGGCAGATCGATGAAGTACACTGCTGAGGGGAGCAGCGGGCGGGTCAGGAGAGGTCTGCTGCACCATGTGGGTCACCTCCCAGGACAGGGATGGAACTCATGTCTCAGTGACTGGCAATAATAGCTTGATAGCAATGTCTTTAATCCCTGTGTCACCAGGGAGGCTCCTGGCTTTTACTGTTTGTTGAGTTATCTCTTTTGTTACTGCTTTAAAAAGCAGCTGAGTAATATGAACTGGATTTGGAATGCAAATTGCATCCATCTAAATAAGTGATGAATATATAATGTTTTAGAAAGTTTATACATGCTGAAAACCTGTTTCTACAAATTTATTCTGAAGAAATTACTTTCAAGGTGTCAGTAAATTATACGTACCATGAAAAACACACAGATCAGTAACATGGAGTCAGGGCCTACATGATGGGGCTAAGTGAGGAAATTGAACATTTCCTGCAATGCCCAATTTTTACCTTTGAGGAAGGTGGTTTCTCCCTAACCCTCCTCCTCTCGCTGTTGTTTACCTGTGATCACAACAGTGAGGAAGGACATGCACCCCATGTCGAGAGAGCTGACCTTTTGATATGATATTAGTGGTGATTTCACTTCTTTGTATGTGTAGTTTCTGATTGTTTTTGAAGGGGGCAATGTATATTTTTTAAATGTTTAATAAAAATTGAGTGAAACTAGATTCAATTTGGAAATAAGTGGTACAGTAAAAATAATCCTAAATCTTTACTCTTACCCCAACACCACTTCCCAACTTATCAAGCCACCTCTTACACATGATGGTTTGGACTTGTGTGCTCTTCTTTTGAGCACCAGAAAGGCCAAGTTATCACCTTCAAATGCAACCAGCAGGCCAGGAAACACCAGTTATGACTAGGAGGGTTTGACTATCTCACTTTCCTGCTGCCAAGGCATGTTCCCCAGCAATGCCAGTGGAAGAACGCCTTGTGGACAAAAGCTCTGTGCTAAGTATGTTTGGGAAATGCTGGCAAACCCACCAGGCTCCTCGTGCCCTTCACCACTGCCTATAAGCTGTGGCTGGCTGAACTGGGACAGAGCAAAATGCCCTTGCCAACTACAGGCACATAGGACTCCAGCCCGCAGGCCCTCTTTGGGCGGCAGAATGCAGGCTGCATCCCTGGGTCAGCCTCAGGCTTTCTGAACCTGCTGCCCGAGTCATTCACCTGGCATCCATCCCTGCCTGGACAGTCAGCCATGCACTATCTTCTCATTGCCCACCCCCTGTCCTGTTCTTTCCTTGTCCACAATGTTATGGGGATAACAGAAGTAGGGATGCTGGCCAGGTGGTTTTTGTCCTCAATGCCAGCACCATGGGGCATCTTAGAGATGCCTTCATGAACTCAGGTCATACTGTACAGCTCAGCCCACAAGGAGGAAAAAGATGAGGACAGAGGGCAGTCCCAGTCAAGCTGAGGATGGTCCTTTGAAGGGAGAGGTAGCAGGGGCAGGGAGCTGATGATCAGATGTTGTCTTTGATCATCAGCTTGGAGTGCAAGGTCAGGGAAAAGCAGAAGCCTTGACTGGTGACAGTAAGCCTTAGGGTAGAGTGTGCATTGGGGTGTAAGGCAGGGGAGAGCCCCACGTGCATGTGTAGGCCTGCCAAGCAGAAATAGAAAAGGGACAGCTCTCTGTGATACCCAGAGCCTTCCCCAAGCACTAAGGGCTCAGGAATGGGACCCTGAGAGTCTGAGGCAGGATGGAGTGGCCTCCAAGGGAGGACTGGCACTGCCCTTAGTGGAGTCTTGGTCAGCTGTGGGTGCCCTGTTGCCAAAGGGTCAGGGCCCAGATAGAGCCCCGGATGGCTGGGATGGGCTGCCCTAACCTGTCTAGGAGGCCATTTGAAAGGAAGAGGGGCTATGGGGTGGGCCTCTGATCCCGAGCTGAGTCAGACAAGACTGTTTCAACTTGAGAATGAACTTGCCAATTGACAAGTGAAAGCCCCTAGCCCCAGGTGGGTGGAGCCTCCTGGGGAGGGGTTTTGTGTGCTCTATACAGGAAAGGTCCCTCCCAACCCGAAGTAGAGCCCAGAGCCTCTGAGTCTGTGGAGGCTGACCTGCGCTTGGGCGGCAGTGACCAGGCTGGCCCACTCCCTGGGGGCCTTGGTCCTGTACAGCCTGGGGGGGATGCAGCTGGGCAGCAGCTCCAGGACAGCTTGGCTCCCTGCGGAGGCACCGAGCTGCACATAACAGTGCCGGGCCAGCAGCTCCACCAGCTCTTCCTCCTGGGACACACGAGAGAGACTTGGGGTCATGTGAGAGCCTCCCTGGCAACACTCCACCCCCGCCCGGCTCACACCCCAGGGCAGCAGTGGGACTGTATGTGGCATCTCATCGGCCTCATCCCCAGGCAGAACCCATAGACCTCCCACCTTGGTGGGCTATCACATGACCTGACTGGGTGAGCCTCCCCATCTCTGCAGAACCGGTGAGTATGGGATGGGATCCCTGAGGTGAGACAGAACCTTCCCACCCCCATTGCTGCGGGCAAGGCTCTTGGCTTATTTTACCCAGTCCTCATTTTTCTTTTCTTGGTTTTTTTTTTTTTTTTTTGCCATAGAAGAATTGGGGCATGCGAGGATTCACCAAAGACAGAGAGGGGAGCAAAAGAGGTGGATCTGTGCTGCTAAAAAGGAGGAGCTAGTGAGACAGGAGAGGTCTGCTGCTCCCTAGTCATGGATCAAACTCAGGCTGCAGTGGGGAGACCGTGGAGACTTAACCCTTAGGCCACCACCAGGTAGCCCCCACCCCAGTCAAGGATCGTTGACTCATGGTCACCCTGTGGAGCTTCTGCAAAGATTCAGTGGGAAAAGATTCTGCAGAAAGTACCAGGCCTGGAGCATGGGCCTCTGCCATTGCAAAGGCCCCACCTGTGTCAAGCAGCCTGTTCTCTCTTTGAGGCCAATGCCTTGCAAAGCTACTTGGCTACCTCCTCCAGGCCCCTGTGCTTCTTGGCCCTGCTGTGCCCGTTGTAGTCAGCACCTGGGACTGTGGTGGCCAAGTCCCATCCCCAAGCAGCATCCTCTGACTTAGGCGGGGGGAGGAGGGGGTTTGCCTGGTACCAGGCTGCTTGGAACTTGAGGGTACCATCTCCCCTCCCTGAATTTTCTTAGCCTTACAAAGAGCTACGGTTACTCTGTACTTTCCAGATAGGGCCCCAGGGTCACAGAGGCATATAGTATTTCAAGGCCACACCACCGGCAAAGGAACAGGTGAGACTGGGCTCCACACTAAGCTCCAAAGTCTTGTTCTTCAGCACTAGGCCCAGAAATAGCTGTTGTGGTGACAACAGGCAGGTGGGCAGCGGGAGGCCTTCTCTACCTGCTGCTGGGACTGTGGGCCCCAGAGACTTGGGCAAATCTGTGGTCCAGGGAGGAGGAACAAGATGGTGGGCCAAGAAGGGACCATTACAAAAGAGCTTGCGGATCACCTTCCTGGAGCCTGCTCCTTTACCTTTTCCACGGCCTCCTCTTTGGGGTGCTCCCTGTTGGTAAAGCCCAGGAGCCCAGGCCCTCCCATGTTCCAGCCCCTCAGTTCTGGCCTAAAACAAGGCTGTCAGATGGGTCCCTCCTCAGGGCTCCAAGGACCCCAGTTTCCCCTCACCTTCTTGAAGCTATACTCGCCAGACCGGATTCCATGGAGGACTTGGTGGTAAATGAGCTTGGTGCTGATGGGGTCCTCCTGGGAGTCATGCCAGGGGGTGAAGAACTCCTTTCGGAAGTACACACGCCAGGGTGACTGGCGTTCATTCTCTTTCCTTTCCCTCGTCAGCTGCTCACACTGGGCGATGGCATCCATCACGTGGTCACGCCCATTGCCCAGGGACAAGAACTGAGGGCAGAATGGGGACAGCTGGGGTGAGTGACTTGTGTGTGCCAGGCCTCACGGGGACTCCTGCAGTCAGCATGGGTGTGTAGAAGGCTGTGCTCAGCTAGCTGTTCCTAGAGAACAGGGTCCCAGGCAGATGCCTGAGGTGGTCTCCATGTAGGGCATAGCCTGTCATTCAGAAAGACCCTCCTTGCTGGCGCCTCCTTAGCAGGCAGAACTTCACGGGAGTCTAATATTTTGATAGGCTGGCGGGCATGTGTCTGGATCTGAGGCTGCAGGAATAGGTGTGATGCGACTGGATGTATGTCAGATGGGTCCCTCCTCAGGGCTCCAAGGACCCCAGTTTCCCCTCACCTTCAGGTGGTCAGGTGGGGCTGTGCTGCCTGGACCCTCATGTCTGCAGTTGAGGAGTCTGCAGGCCCCTGTGTGGGGGTTTGGAGGTAGATATGTGAGGGCCAGTTTGATGTCTGTGTGTAGGCTGTCTGGGCAAAGCAGCTGACTGACAAGGGGTGTGTGTGACTTTTGGGGGCTGTGGTACAGTTGCTGGGCTGAGTGTATGAGTAGTAGCCAGGAGGTCAGGCTGCCTGGTAATGAGATATTTCTGTGATTGTGTGCCTGTATGTCTGCGTTTGGCAGCTGGTGCAGTGCTTATGCCAGCTGGGTGTGTGATGGGAGGGTAGGTGGGCAAGCTATGGGACACCGGCCAGTACCTTATCATACACGGTAAACTGGAGGGAAAAGCCCAGGTAGTCGCTGAGGCCCTGCTTGTGGGCAATATGCAGACAGACTTCCCGCGACGTGGAGGCGGAGTCCACCATGACAGTCAGGGTCTCTCCAGTAGGCAAGGTGACAAGGATTGGGATGTGCTTCTTGGACTTGACAGCCTGGGCACAGACAAAGACTCAGGTCCTCAGCCCCAGAAGCTCCTGAGTTCAGCTGCTGGCTTGGAGCTTCTACAACCCTGGGGCTGGAGGTTGGTCAACCATTCCCTTTTCTCCCCAACTGGTGGGGCTCGTGGGACATCATGAGGAGTCCCGAGCACATGCTCAGTGACAGGACAAAAGAAGGGGAACCTGGTACCATTCCACATCTCCTGGCCCTGCTGGCTCCTACCTGCAACTCTGGCCAGGTGGGGGGCTCTGTGCGCACCCCATTGGTACAGGTGCGTCTCAGGCGCTCCACACAGAAGGGGCCATAGGATGCTGGACCTTGACCAAGGAAGTTCAGTAGATACTGGTGGGTAAAGAAGGAAGAGTTAGGAAGTCTTCAAATGGAGAATACTTTCTGTTAAAAATGTGCATATTCAGGCCCTCCCTGGTGGCGCAGCGGGTTAAAGCACGGCACTGAGAATCTAAAGCCGCTTCCGCATGAGTTCGATTCCCGCCTGCCCCGGAGGTGACCACATGGCGTGGCAGACCTCTCCTGACCCGCCCGCTGCTCCCCTCAGCAGTGTACTTCGTTGATCTGCCTGTTCTGCTCCCCACTCTGTCTCTGGTGAAGCCTCTCACCGCCCCTGAGCCTCTGGCCTGTACCCCAGTTCTGTATGCACAAATAAATAAAAATCTTTAAAAATAAAAAAAAATGTGCATATTCAGGTGGCGCAGCGGGTTAAAGCACAACACTAAGAAGCTAAAGCCACTTCAGCATGAGTTTGATACCCCGCCCTGGTGGTGACCCACATGGCACAGCAGACCTCTCCTGACCTGCCTGCTGCTCCCCTCAGCAGTGTACTTCGTCACTCAGCCTGTTCTGCTCCCCACTCTGCCTCTGGTGAGTCCTCTCACCACCTGTGCAACGCTGACATGTCCCCCAGTTCGGTATGCATAAATAAATAAATCTTTTTTAAAATGTGCATATTCAGCCCTGCCTGGTGGTGCAACAGTTTAGGAGGCAGCACTGCAAGCTGGTCACAGCCGCTTCAGTGTGAGTTCAATCCCCGGTCCCAGAGGTGATCTGCATGTACTACATCCTCAGTGTACTTCATCCATCTGCCTGTTCTGCTCCCCTCTCTGTCTCAGGTGAATCCTCTCACCACCCCTGCACCTCTGGCTTGTACCCCAATTCTGTATACTTAAATAAATAAATCTTTTTTAAAATGTGCATATTCTTTGATCCAATAATTCAAATTTGTCTTAAAGTATTATTACATATTTTTTAAAGATTTATTTATTTCTGCATACAGAGCTGGGGTACAGGCCAGAGGTGCAGGGGTGGTGAGAGGATTCACCAGAGACAGAGTGGGGAGCAGAACAGGCAGATCATTGAAGTACACTGCTGAGGGGAGCAGTGGGCAGGTCAGGAAAGGTCTGTTGCACCATGTGGGTCACCTCCGGCATGGGGATCGAACTCATGGTGAAATGGCTTTAGCTTCTCAGTGCTGTGTTGTAACCCACTGCGCCACCAGGGAGGGCCCTATTACTTGTTTTTCCATCACAATCATGCTTATGGTGATGAGCAGTGGAAAACGAGCTCTAAATGTACTTAGCAAACTAGCCTGGGGAAGTTTATGACATGAGGAGAAACTTAGGGAGGGAAGTGAGAAATGCAGGAGCTCAGTGTTCAAAATGTGTTTGACAAAACTGTGTTGACAATCTTGTCTCGCAGAGAGTCTGCAAGGAGCTGTAGCCTTGGAGGGCTTCCTGGTGTCAGGAGCAGCCCCGGAGCCCAGTCCAAAGGGGCACAGGAGGAGCTGAGGCTGTTTGCTGTGTGACCCTAAATATGACACTAAGATACCATGACAGACTGGAAATTTTAACAGATGTTACTTCTGGGTAGCATTTCATTTTCTTATTAGACTTTCTGTATTTCCTACATATCTTATAATCAGAACCAAAGAATCCACTAAAGCAGAGAAGCTTGTACCTCTAACATCTGGATGCCCTCATAACATCCCACCTCCAACTGCAGCTCAAAGGGCAAGGGTACAGACATTCTTCAGTCTGGACACCTTTGTCTTCTGAATGCACATTTCACTTCATCTACTGTCTGTTTCTCCTCAGAAGAGCCATCCTGTGCCTGAGCCCAAGTGAAATGCTTCTGCAGGAAGAAGCTAGGCCCTGTGTCCCCTTCATAGACAGGGGAATTGAGGCCCAGAGAAACACAGGAGCCTCTGCCCACCCTGGCCTATGGGAGGAACGGGCCATGACCAGGGTCCACCATTCTCCAGTGTAACCTACCCCTTGAGGACCAACTCCACTCCCTTATACCTTCATGAGTCTCTCTGAGGGTGGGAAGCAGCCCAGACAGAGGCTGAGCAGGATCCAGCCCCGTGCCAGGCTGCTCTTTCTGAAGTTCTCAGACAGCTGCTTGCAGATCTGGCAGTAAATCTCATCCCTGAAAGACACAGACCACTGGGGTCAGGCTGGAGCTGGCTGTGGTGGGGAAAATGGACACACAGGTTGTTGCAGCTCCGTCTGCAACATTGGTGGGACATGTCTGCAAGGCCTCCAGCTATGGGCCCTTCCCAGTATCCTTCCCCCTCTCCCCTTCTCCCCGCCCCCGGCATTGCCTTTGCTGGTTTCTCCTGCTAGATCCCTGGCTCACCCTGAATCCTGTCATCTCCTGGTATTGTTCCAACTCCACTGTCTTCCCAGGGTTTGTACACCCACTCCTTCAGCTTTTGCTTCCTGTTTCATCAAGGCCTCAGTCTTCATTCTTTCTATCAGTCATCTCTCTCCTTGGGCCTTTGCTACCTCCCTCATCCAGTCTGCACATGCACAGGATGCTCTCCTGGCCCTTGTCTTGCTGGCTGCCTTTGGCTTCCAGATGTTGGACATCCAGGGGTCTCCAGCATCAGGCCTACCCTCAATAGCTCAGTTCTTTGCATGACCTGATCTTCTTCTACCACAGAGAGAAGAGTGGAGATGACATGGCTCAACCCTCAACTTCTCACCTCTTGATCAGTTCCACTCCCACAGGCTCAGAAGCCTCTTGTAGGGAAAACTCTCCTGATCCTTCCTACTGACTCAGAGCTCTGTCATCTTATAAGATTGTCCCAGAGTCCCTCCAATCTCACAATCTAAAGGCTAGCATCTTTCCCCTAACAACTAGTAGGGCTACTGGTAAATGTTCAGTAACCAACTCTCCCAGGAAGGAAAAAAACCTTGATCCATTGCATTTGCCAGTTTCTTTGGTGCAAATATTCCCACTAATGCTCATTTCAAATTACTAATATGATGTCACCGAACAGAGTTCGGATGAGATGTGCACTGCCTGTTCTCATGGACTGGCAGCCAGCTCTGGCATCCCTCACCTTTCTGTACCTCTATAGGCATCACCATAACTGGAAATCTGGGCGTTATCCAAGAGCCCTCCAAATCAGCCACCATGTGCTATCATCTGTCTCCTAGATGTGTTCTCTGTCCCCTTCTCTTCAATCCTGCTTCCTGGGCCACTACAGCTCTCTGGATCTCTGAGGTGGCTATCTCCTGGTCTCCCACCCTTAGGCGCCATCCCTCCCTGTCATCTGCAGGGAGAACTCTCTGGATGTTATACATGATCATGAAAGTCTCTTAAAATTTCTCCCCACATACATATACACAATGGAATGTTACTCAGCAATAAAAAAAAAAATGCCTTTGCATTAGCAACATGGATGGAGCTGGAAAAGATCATACTTAGTGAAATAAGCCAGAAATAAAAGGAATAACACTGGATGGTTTCACTCATAGCAGGAGTATAATGGACCAGGCGAGAAAATGATAATGATGAACAACCATATACCAGAGACATTTTGTGGGGGTGGAGTGGGGAATGGGATCAAAAACAGTGGGGAGAGGGAAATGCACTGGACTATGGTGATGGCTCATGGGTGATTTGGTGATGGGAAACCCAAGGGGACTGCAACTGAGATGAAAAAATGCACAAAATGATGTCTGGTCAATGCCCTCCTCATTTTTACCCCACCTAGCCCAGGAAAGCAGTGCGACTTTTTCTTCTTGCCGCCTTCACTGGACCATAAGAGGACCCCACCTTAGGAAAAGCAACTGTAATTTCAAATATGCAAGCCCCTAAAATATAGTAGTTTGTCCCTGAAAGCAATACAGTTCTTAATTTGTATACTTATAAAGCAAATTGTACCTAAAACAAAATATACACCAACATGAAGCTTTTCCATTTACAAAATTCTGCTTAGTTAAAGCCTATTATAAAATGAACCACCAGTTCATAATTAACCTGTTTTCTTAAAATCCACGGGTTTTAAGGCAGGGAAAGTAGAGAAGAACCCTTGACAGTTATCAGATACTTTGTACTGAACCCCAGCTTGTCGGCTCCAGGTAAGGAGTGGGTGTCTCGGGGGGGACAGAAGAGCAGACTGGGACACAGGCTAAGAACCATTGAGGGGCTGAATGCCTGAATGCAGGTAAGGTGGGAGTGGGCCTGACCTGAGGCTGGGTCGCAGGATGGCGTAACCCACGATGAAGTGCAACTTCTCCAGGTTGGACATGGGTCGCTCTGCAATGGGACTGTCTGACTCAAACACATCGTCTTCAGTATTCAGCTGTCTGGTCACCTGAGATCAAGAGTGGAATCGCGACAGCCATGATTCTCCCATTTGCAAAGAAGAAAAGCAGGTCACCAGGAAGGAAGTAAAAGACCAGCACCCCATGGTATATAAGTGATGAGGTATCCTTGCCCTAGCTTCACCTGACCTGTGATCTAGAGGACCACTTCAGCTTCATGGAGACGTGCTTTGTTCCTGTGGCTGGACTTCTGTGTATGGGGACAGTTCCCAAAAGAAGATGAGCCAGGCAACACATTCATGAGGCTATCCTGATGGCCATACCGGAGGGGCGAGTGTACATCTGATTCAGCCATTTTCTGGTCCTGCACTATGCAGCTCCTCACTTTGCTAGAGTTTTGCAATACTTACATCAGTTCATCCCACTTCAAGTGTGCACCATTTCAGCGGGAGAAGATGAGCCAGGGAGGGCGAGAGACCAGACTAAAGCTGTTCAGTCTGTAACCAGACCCACAAAGGCCCTGGACCCTCTAATTCTCTTCTGTACTTCGGGCTCAGAATGCCTTCTAAGAGAAGGCTAGATCTGAACCCAGGTGCTAAGGACAGTAAACATTTGGTGGGACAGTTGGAGTATGCTCTGCCCAGCAAAATCTATGCAGTGAGACCAAGGCAAGGTGGGGAGGGGTTTGCCCCCAGCCGCAAGGATCTGTTCATCTCTTTATGGATAAGTGACATGTTATTAAGATGTCAGTATGAGAAGCTGTCAAAATGAGAGCTCAGTATGGGTTTGGACTCGGGTTGGGATCAGCCTGGTCCAGGTTGGGGTACACTGGTTTTCTGCACAGGAGCCAAATAGGAAACATATTAGCTGTCAAGTGAAGGTAGGCAGGGCTGGCTCGGGTTGCTGCTCCTGTGTGGGGCCCACAGTGGGCATTTAATAAAAACATACAGGAAGGCCAGCTGGAGGGTGACTCTGGAAGTCACGCTGCTCCCCTGGGCTCACCCACCAGAGGATAGCCTCCCAGGCTTGCTTCCTGGTGCCAGCCTCTAGGGTGGCCCCAGTGACCCCCACCCCTACCAGTCTTGCCCACCAGGGCATGCGACTTCCATGATCAGGCACATATGGCAGCTTCCTGCTGGTTTTCTGTGTGAGAATGAGAGAAGGCTCACAAGTGCATGTCTGCTGTGGAATTCCTGTGGACTGTTCTTGGTTAGTACCACTACGATTAAACTGTGAACGAGGGTCTTAGGGAAGATGTCTGAGCAAAATGGATGTGAATTAACCTTCAACAGAAGGGCTGGGTAGAAAATGGGTTGAAAACTGGGTGAAAAAACTGAAAAACAAAACAAAACAAAACAAAACCCAGTTCTGTCACACATATTCACTGATTTTGGAGCAAGTCACTTCACTTCTCAGGTTCTTTAGTTCAAAGAAACAATAATTCCTACCTTGTAGGACCAGTCACCTGAGAATTGAGGGAAGAGAAGTGACTGGCACAGAGCAGGTTGTCAGTCAAAGCAGCATGTTGTTATTATTATTGTTCAGGCATTTGAATCCTGTTCAAGTCAAGCCCACTTCAGTGCCTGGAGGACCATTATATCTAATGAGGGTATAATTAAAAAAATCCTGAGTGGAATGCCTGTTTTGTGAGTTCCTGACTGTTTCAAGACTGAACACCTCAGGGAGCTCTGGCTCAGATCAGGCTTAGAGAGTGACACTTATTTCACGTCTTGCCTCCATTTCAGGGCTGGCCTTCCCAGGGCCTGGGGCCTGAGATGGATGCCTGAGGGGTGTCTGTTCATCCCCTATTGTACCTGTGCAGATCCACCATGCTTCAGAGGTTGTGCACCGCTGTCCTTGCCTGTAGCATTGTGCCCTATCATGGAGCTGTCATGCAGGTTGTTTTTGGCAAAGTGCACTGGCTCTGGAAGGTCACCCATGAACCGCAGAATGATGATCCACACGGCCAGGGCAGCCTGGGGAAAAGGAGACAGAGTGCCTGGCTGGATGAAGCTCGTGTGGGCATGGGGTCCACAGTGATCCCACACCCTTTATTCTGAACCGCAGTGCAGATCCAGGCTCCGGAAGGGGAACTGAGGCCCTTAGAAGCATATAACCATTGTTACCGAGCAGTCCTCATCATCCTCAAGGTAGAGCAGTGGGTGCAGGAGTATCCGCCGGATGTGTGTGTGGCTGGCTGATTTCTGGAAGTAGGTAGCAGCAAACTTGGAGAAGGTGTACTTGGTCAGGTCTTCTTCCTCTTCCAGTCCCTCCACCGTGGGGACTGCATCCAGGTCAGCCTCGGGCAGCTTCAGTGTCTTTGCTTGTAGATCCTAGTCACCAGTCAGATGGAGAGAAAAGGGTCAGTTGTCTTTCCAGATACCACCTGGGAAGGCTGAGCATCTCTGGGGCCCAGGGAGCCCCAAGAAGGGACTATAAGGTTATCTACCAGGTGGAACGCTCATAGACTGCTGTGGGTTCAGTTGGGCTCAGTGTGAATGTACCAACCACTCAATAGTGCGCTATTAGACCACCCCAATTGCACACTCAGGCTCTCCAGACATCCCCTGCACCTGCATACCTTCTGCTAGTCTTTGGTCAGAAGGTTAAGAAGGTGGTCCCAATTAGCTCTACTGCACAGAGGGTGAGTTTGCAGGGGTGTGGAGAGGTGTGAGCATCTGGGGATGAGGGAAGGATGCTTAGGTCTTTGGATCGTGGAACACTCACCAGGGTATAGTGAGAATCAATGGAAGAAAAGTTCTGGGGAGCTGCTCCCTTCCTGCCTTTCCTCCCACCCTGCCAACTGCCCCTCAGATAACCCTTCCTCCTGTCAGCTCATGAACTCTCCATATCAGGCTCCAGGTCACATTCTGCAAGCAGCTCCCTTCTACCAAGATGCTCTGTGAAACTCCCCTCAAATCCCTGTGGAAAACACTGTGACTGGAAGCCCATTTTAAGGGTCTGGGAAGTCTCCTAGGTAAGAAACTTTAACTTGAGAGTTTAACCACAGAAAATCATGTTCCTCTTGTCTTTGCATGATTTCCCTGGCTTCTCAGTGAGCTTGAAGATTAGGGGTTGCATGAGGTCAGGATCTGGGTGGGACTCTTCCATCCCCCAAACATTCAAAGTTTGATGGACAGAGCTTGTCTTACCTTGAAGGTGGGTGAGGTCTGGCCCTCCTGCCCGCCCATCATGGAAGGGAGGAAGCCGAACACTTTCTCCACCATCTCCGTGTCATTGACGGTGTCGTAGATTGATGGGCGCTTTCTGGGTAGGGGAGTACCTTGGCTCTTTGGCTCCTTTGCTGAGATGACCAGTGACCCCTGCACACACACCTCAAAGGTTGATACACAGACCTTGCTGGCGCAGGCCCCTCACAGAAACCAAATATACCTCCTCCTGCCATTTGTCCAAATCAATATATTTTTCCTTGAAAATCATAGATTTTAATAGCTAGTGATTAGATGTCAACCAGCCTGGGCTTTTCATTTCCCAGTAGAAAAGCAGAGGTCCAGAGAGGGACCACACAGACCCTGATGTACCTCTGAATCCCCCAAAACTTCAGAACTGCAAAACAGCTGCTAAGCCTCATTCAGTGCCTCACTCTAAGGAGTATCAGGGCTCTGCCAGGACTGATTTCTGGACCTGTGCTAACTAGTGCACTGTGAGCCTGGGTTGGGCCCACAGGGGCCACAAGGGCCAAGTGGCATACCTGAGGGCTTCTTACTTTCTTGCCCTGGCTTATGTGCTACTAATTTACTCAGCAGACCCAATTTTTCTCTGTGCGCCAGAGGTAAACATAAACCTTGTTCCTTTCCTTTATCTTAGTTTCCAAATGAGCCTGTTTTGAGGAATGGGGGTGTAACTTACATGTTCCCTGAAGGGCTTCATAATGCAGGATGAAATTTCAAATTGCAGGGGTATGTACCTGGGTACAGATTCCCTGCTTCCTGCTCTTCAGCCTTTCTTACCCAGCCATTAGAAGGTTCCTCTTGATGTTATCTGTCTTTGAGCTATCATTGCCAGACATATTTTCTCTCATGGAACTGTGCCCTTCCATTGTTCACCTGGCTTCCTGTGCCTTTTATGGGACTGTCTGTCCTGACCGAGAAATTGTCCCTGAGGTTAAAGAGAGGTCACCCTAGAGCTTGAGTTCCAAGTTCCAGGTCTGGGCCTCTCTTGCTGAGGTGACAGATCCCTATATGCATCTTATGCACTCCCAGGTGGGAGCACAGTGGCCCAGATGACTTTTCAGTCTGCTGTAGCAACAATTGTGGCAAAGGAAGGAAAGGAATATCTAGTGAAACTTCATATTGCTGCTCACTCCTCCTGCTTGCCCTTTTCCAATGGGCCCCAGCCAGTCCCCACCTGCCCAAGACAGCAGTGACCACGTACGTTAGCTTTCTGTCGCTGGAGATTCTGCCGAGCAGCCATGCCCCTGGTGTATGCTTGGATCACCACCACTGCCCTCCTCTTGGCCTGAATATGTTGGCGCACCAGGTAGCCCCTGCAGCGGGCCTGCAGGTGAACCATTCTCTGCCGCATGACGTGGTACTGCTTGGCCAGAGAGTGACTCCGGGCAGTAGCCTGTAGACGCTGAAAACCTAGGAGGATCTGTGGAGCAAGAGCAAAATACACTCCTTGGGAGGTGACAGGCACAGAGCACAGAGCAGGCCTGCCCTGCAGGGCAGAGAGCCAGAAGTAAGAGATAGTCTCCAGGAGATCACACAACTTAGCTTAGAGTTACTTGCTTTTGGGCAAAGGGGATGGTGCTAAGATTTTATGTACCTAGCACAAGCTAGGTTGAATGAATACTTGTACAGCACTTAGAAAAGAGCCTAGCATGCAAATAAACGCTGAATACACATTTTGTTAGGGGGCATAAATAACAAAGCGGTCTCCCCATGGCCAGGTATAGAGATTTGGTTTGGATGTGACCTGAGTGATGGGATTCCAGAGGCCTTGCTTTTCATACCTACCAGCCAAGTCCAGGCAACTTGTCAGGAGCTGGCACACCTGGTTTGTGACCTGTGCTCAGCTCTGTCAAATTAATATTTCAGGGATCTTTGAAACAAAGAGGAAATACTAAACTGATGAGCAAATACGTTTGTATGGCAGATGTCGGGCCATGGTAGGTCCTGAAGTCTCTGGACGAATCTAGCTAGCTTGTCAGACAGCACAGTGGTGCTGGTATGGGGTCAGGTTCCATGGCCGGCTTGGAAGCTTTGCAGACCTGCACCCAAACTCCATTCTATTGCTTACTAACTGCATATTCTTGGGAAAGTGAATCAATCTCTTTATGTTACCTTGATGTAGAGGGCTGGCTTAATCAGAAATAAAATCATACACACAAACCAATGGGCCCCAAGTAGCCTTTCCAACCCATCAACATGGACGGGGCTGGAGTCCATCCAGCCATGTGACCCAGTGGTTGTGACAAAGGCCAGCAGTCAGTTGGGCCTGCACGGCGAGAGCAAGGCTGCTTCAATTCATTTATTGAGCAGCTACTCAGTAGCTGTGCCTGTTAGGAAGAAGGGCTTAAAGTAGAAGAATCAATCCATTGACTTATTTTGTTGCCTGCCAAGTGGGAACAGTGTCATGATCTATTTTTGGGGCAGGGCACCTCAGTCTAGCTCTGGAGGTGCTCCAAAAGCCGCACAACACTGAAGCTCAAATGAGGTGTCCTGGGACAGCACTGAAAAGACAGTGTGTGTGGTGCTGGGTCTGGCCACTGAGGCCTGCCTTCACATCTGCTGGAATTTTGTTTCTGGCTCCGGGATCCACTTTCATATCAACAAATTCCCACATCTGTTCTTTGTTGGACAGGAGTGTACTGTTCCTGCAGGGGCAGTGTCTCAAGTGGGCTCTCTTACCATCTTGAAGTTCTGCCTGTGGTAGTGGCCTTTCCACCAGGCCTGGAGGACCAGGGCTGCCTGCTTCTTCCGTAGGAAGTCCTTCCTAGAGGGAGGTGCAAGTCAGAGCTATGTAAAAACTTTGGGGGACAAACTGATTTTGAAGGGAAGAGTGATAATGAAATATCAGGGAAAATGAATATATATATTTTGATTTTAGAAACCTTTATGGACTAATGACTGATATGTTAGGGATTTAAAATCTACTGCCAGTACTCAGGTTTTGTAATTCCAGCTTTTAGAGTAGTAAGAAAAATTCTCCTCATTTCTGCCAGAGATCTATGAAGGGATAGAACCTGTTTCCAACATTTTAGTCCTTGTGAAAGTCCTCCCAGGCTCTCAGTCATCTCCTTACCCCAGCCCAAGTGTCCACAGAGACTGGATCAGAAACCCCAAGACAGGGCTGGTCAAGGCAGGAGTAGCTGGGGCCCTAACAGGCTGCACATGCCATTGTACCACTTCCTTCTGCAGGGAAAAATGTGCTGAAAATGGAGAGAATAACCTGAAATTTGGCCTCCGGAAGTGGGGCCACTCCCAGGTGAGCTTGATGCATAGGGAGGTATCTTCTATCTCATGCTCAGCTGACTTTTCTTATCAATTCTAATAACTTTTCAGGGAATTTTCTTAGATTTAGAACAGATTCAATTATGTTCTGAATCATCTGGAGAACTTCAAAATTTATTGATACTTGGGTTCCACCCAGTCCAATTAAGTTGGAATCTTTGTTGATGGCCCTGGAAAATCTATGTATCAATGCAGCTATCTTTATCAAATAGTTTTTGGTGCATATACACAATGTGTGTGTGTGTGTGTGTGTGTGTATCCCCATGTCATTCTAATATGAGGGAAAAAAATACTTGAATTACCTAAAAAATAAAAACGATTTATCTCCTGCCCAATTGTTACACCAGTGGGTTTCAACTGGGGGTAATTTCTGAACCCCAGGAGCAATTGGCAATATTTAGAGACATTTTTGATTGCCATGACTAGGAAGTTGGAGGAGGGGGGAGAGAGGGTGCTACGGCTACTGGTATCTGGTGAGTAGAGGCCAGGGATGTAGCTAGCCAACCTATTAATATAATGCTCAAGGTCCTTCCTTCCTTCCTCCCTTCACCCCTTCTTCCCTCCCTCCCTTTCTTCCTTTATCCCTTCTTCCTTTCCTTCCTTGTTCCCTCCCTCCCTCCTTCCCTTTCTCCATTGCGTACATCATCATCTCTCTCTTTATTTATTTTGTTGCTAACTATGTTACCCAGAACAACAAAAACACCATTAAATATTAATGGGATGCAGCGGACAAATTTTTCCCTATTCTTCCTGTTAATTTCAGCTATAGTCCTTGGGGGCATTATATACAAAGCAAACATAACAAAACTTTGAAAGGTGTATAGCAGAAGACCAGCTAGGGATCTCAGACCTAAGGAACAACACAGTGACAACTATTTAGGATTACTTTTTGCCTCATATATCCCAGACTTGGAACTGAAGGAGTCAGCAATCCAGAAATGACATATGGATAGAAGAAAAAAGTCTCAACAAAAGTCATCTCTCTCTATCAAAAGAATCAGGAAAGTTTCAACTTGGTAAGATCGGAAATTTTTAGAAAATAACCTCTTGACTTGAGTGAAGCACCTCATAAACGTCTGTGGCTCCATTTCCACTTATGCCAGAAAATGCCAAGTGGAGACAAGATTTCCACCCTAAGCAGCGTTGGAAGAATAAGTGATGGGCAGTAATAAACCTGTCCCCCACTTAAAGTATAGTCATGTGAAATAGGTTGAAAGTAAATAGGTGGACAATGCATATCATGTAAAGAATAACCAAAATAAAAAAGGGGTGGCTATATTAATGTCAGCTAAAGTAGACTTTAAAGCCAAGAAAATAACCAGAGAGGAACATTTTGTGATGATAAAAAGAAAAATCTGGCCCTCCCTGGTGGCGCAGCGGGTTAAAGCACAGCACTAAGAAGCTAAAGCCACTTCCGCATGAGTTTGATTCCCACCTGCCCTGGAGGTGACCACATGGCGTGGCAGACCTCTCCTGACCCACCCGCTGCTCCCCTCGGCAGTGTACTCGTTGACCAGCCTGTTCTGTTCCCTACTCTGTCTCTGGTGAAGCCTCTTGCCGCCCCTGAGCCTCTGGCCTGTACTCCAGTTCTGTGTGTACAAATAAATAAATTAAAAAAAAAAAGAAAAAAAGAAATTTTTATGCACCAGAGTTGAAAAATATGTGAAACAAAACTGATAGAAATGAAATGAACAATAAAATCTATAATTATATTTGGAGATCTCAAACTCTACCTTCTCAATAAATGCTAGACAGCAAGCAACAAGTAGATAGAATTCAACAAGATCCAATTGACATTTTTAGAGCATTCCTTCCAACATTAGCAGAATATTTGTACTTTTCAAGCACCCATACAACAAGATAGTACATATTCTCAACTATTAAAGAAACATCAGCCTATTTAAAATAATTTAATTCACACAGAATGTCTCTGACCACAACCAAACTAGAAACCAATAACAGGGTGGTAACAGAAAAGTCTCCAAGTCTTGGAAACTAAACAATATACTTCCAAATAATCCATAGACCAAAGAGTGAGTCTCAAAGGAAAAATAAAAAATGAACTGAATAAAAATAGATATATCAAAATATGAGACACAGCTAAAGAAATGCTGAAAGATTTATAGCATTTTACTTTATAACAGAGAAAAGAATTTAAATTAATAATCTAAGTTCCCACCTCAAGCATCCAGAAAAAGAAGAGTAAAATATATCCAAAGTTGGAAAGAAAGGAAAAATAAAAAAAGCAGAAACCAACACAATTGAAAACAGATTTAAAAACTGGGGGAAAATGAGGAAAAAGTAAGTGAAACTAAAAGCTGATTTTTATAAAAGTAATATTGGCAAACATCTAGCAAAACTGACAAAGAAAAAGGACACAAATTTCCACTGTCAGGAATGACACAGAGGATATCACTTCAAGTCCTAGAGACATCAAATGATAATGGAATTCTATAAACAATTCTACACACATAAATTTGACAACTTAGATGAAATGGACCAATTCCTCAATAATCAAAAACTGCCATAGCTCACCCAAATGTATAGATATTTCTATTAAGGTACTTATAAATTAAAATATCTCCTTATAAAAGTCTCCAGGCCCAGATGGTTCTGGATAATTCTAGCAAACATCAATTCTATGCAACCTCTTTCAGAGTAGATGAAAACACTTCCTAATTCATTTTATGAAGCTAGCATTTCTCTGATACTCAAACCAGATAAAGAAACACAAAAAGAAAATTACATCTCATGAATATAGACACAAAAACCCTTACAAAATACTAGCAAATAGCATCCTATAATATATAAAAAGAATTATACATGATGACCAAATGGGTTTATCTTAGGAATGCAAGGCTGATTCAATATTCCAAAACTCAATCAGGGCCCTCCCTAGTGGTACAACGGGTTCAAGCCCAGCACTATGAAGCTCTCTGCAGCCACCTCAACACAAGTTTGATTTCCTACCAGGGAGGTGACCCACATGACATGGCAGACCTCTACTGACCCAGGTGCTGCTCCCCTCAGCAGTGTATTTCAGTGAATCTGCCAGTTCTCCTCCCATCTATCTCTGTGGTAGATCCATGCACCTCTGGCCTGTATCCCAGTTCTTGTATGGATAAATAATAAATTTTTTAAAAAAGAAAATCAATATAGTCCATCATATTAAAAGGCTAAAGAAGAAAAATCACATGATATCAACTGGTGGGAAAAGTTTATTGAAAAATATCCATTACCCACTTATAATTAAAACTACCAGAAAATTAGGGATATAAGAAACTTCTCAACTTGAGGAAGAATGTCTATAAAACCTGTAGCCATCCTTATACATAATGGTTGAAAACTGAAAGATTTTCCCTAAAATACGGAACAAAGCAAAAATGGCTCTTTTCACCATTCATAATAAAGCCATGCATCATTTAATGACAGGGACACATTCTGAAAAATGCATTGTTTGTCAATTTTGTCCTTGTTCAGATGAATATAGTATAATTAACCCAACCCAAGAGGTATAGCCTTCCACATACCTACGGTAGGTGGTATAGCCTATTTGGAACACTATCATGTATGTGGCCTATTGTTGACCAAGATGCCAGTGCCAAAGACAAGAAAAGGAAATACAAGACATACAGATGGGAAAGAAGGAACTAAAAGTGATCCTATTGCAGAAAGAATGAAAATGTTCCTAATTTTTATGTATGATTATCTACATAGGAATTCTAAGAAATTTATAGCAAGTGAGTTCAGCAAGGCCTCAGATACAAAGTCAATATATAAAAATAATCATATCTTTGTGTACTAGCAATGACTGTCAATGCCAAAATTAAAAATATAGTATACTATACACTCTTTCCCAATAAAATAATCTATGCATAAATTCAAAAGGTATAGAACTTGGATAATGAAAACTATAAAGTCTTGATGAAAGAAATGAAAGAAGATCTACATAAATGAAATTTATGAAGTGGAAGACTCCACATGGTAAAGAAGTCAATTATCCTCAGATTCATATATGACACAATTCCTATCAAAATCTTAGCAAAATTTTTTGTAGCTGTCAACAAAATTATTCTTAAAACATGTTGGAGAGGCAAAGGACCAAGATGAATTAAAACAGCTTCAAGATGTTCTGTAACTAGGCAACAAGACAGTGGTGTTGCATTGGCAGATGGACAGACACACAGATCAGTGGTAAAGAATACAGAATTCATAAACAGACCCACAGATACACCAAACTGATTTTTGGCAAAGGTTCATTGAAGAAAGCACACTATCCTCTTAATAAATGATGCTGGAGCAAAATTCACAAGGAAAAGGTTTTAAAACAAGCTTGACCTAAGTCTTACACTTTATTAAAAAATGAACTCAAAACGAAGGGGATTATGCACCTAATTGTTAAATGTAAATCCACTATAGTATTAGTGAAAAAAAATTAAGAGAAAATATTTGGGTTTAAAATTCTTAGACTTGAAGTCAAAAACATAGTTTATAAAAGGGAAAGCTGACAAATTGAAATTCACCAAAATTAAAGACTTTTGCTCTGTAAAGATGTTCCAAAGAGGTTGAAATGATCAGCAATAGACTGGGAGAAGATATTTGCAAACCACATATATACCAAGGGACTAATATTCTAGGATATATAATGAAAGCTCAAAATTCATCAAAGATTCCAATTAGATAAAGGGCAAACAACACATTTGCACATTTTACAAAAGAGGACAAACACAGGTGACAAATGAGAAAATGGAAAGATACCATTACACACCTGTCAAAATGACTAAAATGAAAAAATAGTAAGAACTTCAAATTCTGGAGAGGATGCCAACAAGCCCACTGGCTTCTACATTGCTGGTGAGAATGTAAGATGGTATAGCTACTCTGGAAAACATTCCCATGAAAATGTAAGTACTCCATGTCACTATGATTGCACTCCTGGGCATTTACCCTGGAGAAGTGATAACTTCTACTCACACTTCCTATACACAAATGTTCAAAGTACATTATGTTTTAGAACCTAAACTGAAAACAGCCTAGATGGCCTGTAACACATGAGTGATTAAACAAACTATGAAATGCTACTCAGCAAGGAAAAGGAACAAAATAGTGATGTATTTCACAATGTGGATGCATTGCCATGGAATTATGCTGACCGGGAAAAATGTTAATCCCTGAGGTTACATGCCATAGAATTCTATTTATTTTATTTTTGAGTTGAAAAACTGGGGCTAGAGGTGTGGGGGCGAGAGGATTCACCAGGGACAGAGTGAGAAGCAGAACAGGCAGATCTATTGAAATACGCTGCTGAGGGGAGCAGCAGGTGAGAGAGGAGAGGTCTGCTGCACCACGTAGTTAGCTCCCAGGCCGGGGATCGAAATCAGGCCATAGTGATGATAGCACTGAGACTTAACCCCTATGCTACCAGTGAGGCCCCGATATAATTCCATTTATAAAAACATTCTTGAAGTGACAAAATTATAGAAATAGAGAACAGATTAGCGATTGTCATAGATTAGTGGGGAGGGGAGGGATGGAGGTATAGCTATAGAAGGACAGTACAAGGGACCCTTGTGGGATGGGCTATATCAACACAAAACTCTCTGTGTTTTTATCGTATCAATATCAACATCCTCATTGTGATGTGTTATGGTTTTTCAAGATGCTGCCACTGGTAGAAACCAGGTGTGTGCTGTTGTTATTTCTGCGTGTAAATCTGCAATTATCTCAAAAAAAAAAACTCAATTAAAATTGCCTGTGACCACCCCTGCCAGTCTTGAACATTCTGGAATATGTTCATGCACCGCTGTTTGACCCATGGGAGCTGTGGCTGTCTTGAATATCACCACCATCTAACCTTGCAAGCCACACCCCTCTGCCTTGTGTCTTGCTCCCAGATGCCCATAATCTCTATTCCTGGGGTCTGGTATGTTTTCCCATTTTCTCACGTCTGGGTTTCTGTTCTGTTCTTTGGGTAGTGATAAGTAGGCAGGATAGGGATAGTGAGGACCTCAGAACCTTCTGGACATGGACAAGTTATGGCAATACTGCAGAGCAGCTGGACCTGCACTGCAGTCCAGGTTTACCCTCTGTCAACCAGGGGACTGAGTCAAAGATAGATTTTTTTTCTTCCTGCCAAAAGCAACCACTTCATCAGCCCAACCTCAATGTTGTCTAAGACAATAGGAGAGCATCAATGCATAGCTGAAACCTAAGCTGCTACTTCATTTGGTTTTTGCTTAAGTGGTGGATTTCACTCTCTCCCCATCCCCCAAATTCAAATAATGTACTAAAATTCTTTGACCAACATGGGCTTCAGTGTCTGTTGTCAGGAGTTCCTGGGAGATCTTGAGCTTCAGCTACCCTCTGGGAGGGACCAGTGGGAACATGTAAGTCTGGTTTGCTGCCTGCAGGCCTTCTGGAGAGCCATGACTGGCAGGCATGTGGTTGGGCAGGGTTTAGGGGAGGGCAGTCACCTGTATTTGTAGCCTCTCAGGACTCTCTGGATGTTGATTGCTGCCTGTTTCAGGATCTGGCTCCTCTGTATCTCCAGCAGAGTGTCCTCATTGTCCTGGGTAGAGAGATGTCACCATGTAGTTGCCCCACCACCACCACCACCACCCCACATTTCTGGAGCCTGCACACTGTCTCAGTCAGTGTTTCTCAGACTTTTCCCACATGTACTCCAGGGAGGGTGAACAGGGGAAGGGACTTCAAGTTGACCTGATATATGTGACTTAGAGACACGAGCTGCACCTATCCACCCCCCAGCCTCAGGGCAACCACTTCCCACCAGTTCTTTCTTCCTATTAATTCAATCTGGCTAATTTCATTTCTGTACTGGATAACACAAGAGGGGGAAAATTTCCCTAAAGTTGTGTTTTATTTGCCAAAATGCATCTGCAGTGTACATCCAACCCTGCTATAGACTCATGCTTGTTTCCCTCAGCCTTTGAATAGGACTCAAAATGCGTGATGATGAGTGATGTTCAGACTGTGATTTTCCCTGACCTACTCTGGCCCTCCTGGACCTGTGTGCCCTGGGCCTGCCCTCCTAGCCTGTACTTATAGAAGATGGCATGTACTTATAGAATGTACTTATAGAATGGAAGAGTAGCACTACCCTTTGGTGAGTTGGGGTGGGGGGAGGGTGAGATACTGGGGCCTACTCCTGCTTCTCAGTATTGAGTCTCTTCAGGTGCCTAGGACGCCACTCGGGACAGAGTGGATTAGATCCTGACTGTGGCCTCATAGAGCAGCCTGCCTCAAAAACCCACTGATACAGACCTTGCCTTCTCAGCCTCTGCCTTCTTCCTTCTATTTCTTGAGAAGTGCTAGACTCTCAGACATCTGCTGTATTCCAGTATTACCTCCTCAAAAGAATCTGAAAACCCCCTGCCTCTTCCTTCCAAATGAGCTGTGAGCCCTAGCACAGGCTTGACTAGTGTGTGGACAGATGGGTGGACTGAAGAACTAGTGCTAGATGGTTACTCTGAAGACAGACGAGACATGTGGAAGGCTCTGGGGGAAAGGGAGGGAGTGGAGGACTCAGGAAGGGGCAGCATGGTGAGGGTGGTGTGGGGTACTTGGGTGGGCTAGCCCTGATTGTCCCTTCTTCCTCCTCCTCTCATTTTGCTCACACATGCAAGGTTTATGAGGCTGGGGGACTTGGAGGTCATCTTGACAAAGGCTCTTTGAACAAACTGGCAAACCTGGGAAGGTCTGAAGTCCATAAGGGTACCTCTGTGTGACCTGGGCCCCCTATAAGTTGAGCGGTGGGAAGGGAGGTGGGAGGTGGGTGGTGGTGTTGCTTTGCAAAGGCAAGCACATTGAGTCATTCCGCATTCTCCTGGCTCTGAAGGAGTAGAGCTTCCCTAGGTGAGATGATGCCCCCTGCTGGGAGCCATGGTGCCTGCATGGTGGAGGCCTGCTCTCAAGCACAACTGGAGCTGCCCTTAACTTCTAGCTGCTGCCTGGTGGCTTGGAGAGTGTCCTTCCTTATCCTCAGGCCTTGTGCTGGACACCCTGTCTGGGAAGCTTCTAGACTTCCACAGGCTGGGCAGTGTTCTCCATGCCCATCCCACCTACCTGTTCTTCTATAACAGGAGTGTGTGTGGGGGAGGGGTGAGCTGCAAGGAGAGCAGGGGGTCCGGTGTTGATGGCTCAGGGTGAGTGAGGCACCTCTCTAGGGGGTCTCACCTTCAAGAAAATTTTTGTCCTTCCCATTTTCCAGTTTTTGTCTGTCTTCAGCCAACTTTCAACAATGCGCAGGCTCATCTGGCGAAACTTTTCCTGTAGCTGCCAAGGAGAAACAGGAACAGCTTGGAGGAGTAAAGACCCTGAGATGGGAGGCTGAGAGTACCTCCTCTGGGGTTTCCTTCCTCCTCCTCCAAGTTCACCGCCAGGGGTGCAGGGTCAAGATACGCATAGAGCCACTCAATTAAGGGTGGGCCAAGGGGAGTCCATCCCAGGCTAAGAGATCACCTCACTCTCAAGGTCTGGGACCTCACTGTAGTGATCAGACACTTGGGTGATCAGCCACTTTAGTGTGGCTGAATGTTTGAAGAAGAGTAAGGACTTCCTGAGCTTCCAAAAAGCTCATTAGCCACACAGCATCTCCATTACCCGGTTTCAAGCCTCAGATGCTCTGAGAATAAGCATATTCAGCCTCTAGTGTCATCCAGACTCCAGTGTGAGTCCTTCCCCTACTTCTGGGGGCCCAGGGAGGGAGATGAAGGCGCAGGAGGTGGAATGGGAGGGAGAATGGGAGTCATTTCAAACTTCAGAGCCAGGAGGGTCCCTGAACATTAGAAGGTCAGCAGCTCCCTTGGGGCTGCGGGTTGGGCACACTCTGAGACAGTAGGTATCTGGGAATGCACTTGACCCGTTGGGGCCAGCTGGCCAGGTTGAGCTGGATGCGCACCTGCCTGCGCTCAATGCTGGACAGCAGGATGCAGAACCTGCGTGAGAACTCCTCGAAGGTGTAGCGGATGGGGAAGCCGGATCTGCGGATCTGCACAGTCTCCATCATGCCGGAATACCGCAGCTGCTGGGTGCACAGTTCCCGGTCGAAGAGCTGCGCGAGAGAGGCAGGACGGTTAAGGAGAGCGTCCAGCATCTGGGCGGGTTCTGCGAGAGCCCTGCCAGGTAGCCTGCTCGACCAGTTACTCCTCTGTCCCTAAATGCCTGGAGCTTTAAATTGTTTTTCAAAAATGTTTTTACTAAAGCATTATCATTCCTTCCTCCAGACTTGCTGTAAAAACTACTCCTTGTCGCTAGTTTGTTAGAGGTGAATTTTTTACTTAAGATTTGGTATTTGGGAAAACTCACAGAACTCATGTTTTCTCTGGGAAAAATCCATTACTCACTTTGCTCCACCACTATTCCTTATGTCCCTTTCCCATTTCTCTCCCGTCTTCCTCTTAACCTCAGAGCCCTGGGGATATTTGTCAATGCCCAGTGGTTTTTGACAGTGTTTTGTGTTGTTGAATTATCTGTTACATGAATGTCCAGTACTTGCTTTTATTGTTCTGATTTGTTTTGCTGCTGTGTGTAGTTTTTCAAACACCCTCTATTTTGTTGAAATGGCTGCATTTCATCCTTTCTTGTGACAATGTAGTATTCTGTGGTATGAATGAGCCACATCTATTTTGAAAAGAGTTGTTTGGTGGATGAAACAACAGATGAAAGTCCATGACATAGAAACATAGTGACATCTTACAAGAACACTAAGTGTTTTCCTCATGCTCAGGATATACAAAGTGCTATGAACATTAAAGTTATGCACTGTTTAAAATGTTTTCAAGCACCCCAAAATAATGATCCAAAAGAACATTGCTTCTTTCCCACCTTACCTCTGTTGAGCAGTTTTGGCACTAGGGCGCCTCCCACACCCTAGTGGGCAGAAGAAATTCTCTTCCTACTTAAAACAAGATAATGTTCTAGCCAACTTGGTGTCTCTCTTCCTCAGAGATAGACATGGCCACCAGAGAGGAATTTGGGGCTGATGCTTTGCAACCAGGTGTGGGATCCACTGAGCCCTCAAGACTCTGCCTGGGTTGGCCTCTAGGGGGTGCACTGGCACTGCGGCCTCCAAGCCAGGAGCCTCAAGATCATGGAAGACCTCCACCTGGCAAGACCCCTGGCAGAAGGTTACCCTCTTGGAAACACTGAGGGCCACAGTGGCAACAATTTCTGGAGTCCAGGGTCAAACAACAATTAGTTTCCCATTTATTGAGTATTTCTTATGGGCCTGGTGTTTCTCATTTAATCTTTACAACAATCTTATGTAGTGGGGTTCTTGCCTCCAATTTAATAGCAAGGTCCCTTATTACACCTCTAAGTAACTGAGCCAGGGCTCAAACCCTGAGTCAAACTGGCTCCTTGCCTCATCTGCTCTTTCATTTACATAGCGGTCACTAGGGGAACTTGAGCATTGACCACAGGCCCAACTGTCATGCAGCTCCTAAGGAGGGAAGCTGGCTGGGCAAAGGGTCTCCAGAAGCACAGTTGTTATCTAATACCCCTATATTGTTCTACAAACAAGAAACATTTTGGATTTCCTGTGACTGCCTCAATTTCATATAATTTAGTTCCTCCCCCTACCCCCAAGAGGCACTTTGTAATTCCCCTTATGAGATTTTTTTTTAAAAAAATCAGTGAATATTCAGGTGGCATATACCAGTTTGGGTAATTCTGTATTTGAGGCCTCTGTTTGGGATTACCAGAGACTCCCATACAGGCTAGGGCCCTCTGCGTTGCCCCCCACTGCACCCCCCTACACACACATACAGCTGTTCTACAAAGATTGCTTGGCCTCAGGTCTTGGTGATTATGCATTGGCCTCAATCTCTAAAAGTACAGGACTGACACTTGTAGAGGTGCTGCAAATGCCATGTTCTTCTGTCCTTGCTGCCCACTGCAGTCAGGTCATAGTCTGTCTTTACAGCTAAGAGGAAGGGCTTAGAGAAGCATGATCTAGAACCTGCAGATTACTGACACAGGGGTGGCTAAGACTAGTTGCCTCAATGTCCCCTTCTGTAAAGTGGGGCTGATAGCTCTAATGTTGGTGAAGGGAGCAGTGAGAGGGACCCGGATGCCCAGAGATTTGTGGAGAAGACAACTTGCCCTCCCATGCTGCCCCTTATTACCAGTGGCTTCTTGTACTCATTGGGTTTGATGCAGCGGATGAAATAGGGCTGGCAGTTGTTCAGGATTTTCATCAGCTGGTCCAGAGACTTTTTGAATTGGGCTGCCAAGGTTGGGGGGCGCTTGTTGGACTCTGAAGACTGTGGGCAGAAGCATGGGGCACAGTGAGGTGCTGGGGAACATGACTTAGGGCACAGTTCACACACAGCATGGAGGGTCACTGCCAAGGACCTACAGGCAGACAGGCTGCATTCATTGAATCACCCATTCTTTCATCCATTCCAGGAGCCTCAAGTGCATTCTGTGTGCAGGTCCTCCACAGGACTGTGGGCCCAGAGGTGACTAAGATGAGGCTAAGACTTCTGTCTGGAGATGGGGTCTCCCAAATGGGATGTAGAAGATGATACCACACAGTGATAAAAATAATGTCAGCATTCACTCTTTATCACATTCTTCTATATTTTCATTTTATGCATAGGTTTCATATATTAAAAAAATGTTCCATACTATATACTGTAAGCAGTGCAGTAAATGTATACAGTATATCAATAGTACTATATTAAAAATAGATTTATCAAAATTACGCGTGCCAGGGTGAAACAAAAGCCACACCCACCCACAAGCAGGGTGCTCTCTGTGCAATGCTGATCTGGGGAGGAGCTTCTTGATCAAAACTTTCCAAGGTCAAATGTGCCAGAGCAAAGGTATCTGCCAAATCATATCTCTGGCCTGTCTTCATACTTTCACCCCTCTAAGGAGAGGACTGAACACAGGTAACATGACAACAATCCCCCTATCCTGGTTTGTAAAAGAATGTGCATTTCCTGCACCATCATCCTGTTCTGAATCCCCTGGGATATGCCCTGGGCTCTGGTCCAAACTATGGAGGGTTTAGCCTGGCCTCACCCAGTTCCAGACCTGAGGATATCGTGCACAGTCTCATGGCTCTGCGGTGCCTCCTTTGGCCTGCTCTGGTGGGTCCTGGGCATGGGGGCCTCAGATGCTACCACAGAGGCGGAGGGATAAGATGGAAGTTCGGGGCCACCTCAGTGTGGCCAGGGCTGGATTCCCGGCCAGGGGTGGGGTTCTTTGCCTGTTCTTGAAATTCCTGAGTCACTCAGGTAGCTTCATTTCCCCAACTTGAGGTGAGGAAGTCCTCATCAAGTGATTCGTGGGGTTTTTTTGAATAGTCACTGTCATTGTGTAATGGCAGTGGGCAGTGGGTAGGCACACACCCCCACCCTGTTAGGAAACACTAGGAGCCCTGAAAAACCTGTGTCTCCACCAGCCTGACATACTATATGTACCACAAATCACACACATACATAATAGACATAAAACACAAAACATCACACACACAAAAATGCATACCTCATAGCACATGCACCAATAGAGAAACAGACTTACTCTAGCAAAACCACCATCTCAGACTCAGGTGTGTTCATGTGCACCTGTCCCCTCATCGCCACCCCGTGGTCACAGCATTGGTTGACCCATTTGCACTCTCTGTGCCCAGACCCTAGCATGGAGTCTTCCTCTTCCATGTGCGCTAGTCTGACCCCTGGGCTTGAGGGATGGGAGGCCAGGACATGCTGGAAGGGACACCCATGGGAGCCTACCTGGACATGCATGCTCCCAGTCTTTGTTTTGCAGATGGTCCCAGGGCCCAATTTGGTCTCCCCTGAACCCAGTTTGAATATTTCCTGCAGGAACTTGTTTTTGGAGGAATGAAGCAGGCTGAGAATATCTGAACCCAGAACATCTCGGTTCTTCTCCAGGAAGCCTGGGGGAAAGCAGAGTCCATTCAACAACTCAACTCAGCCATTAGTGCCAACCCACAGGAGTAGGAGAGGCCAGAAGGGTAGGAAATGGGTCACCCGCTGAAGCCCTCCACCCCACCCCTTCCTGGGTCTCCCTGTCCTGCCAACAGAGCCATATAACAACCATCACCTGTCACACTCTGCCCCCCACTCCCCATCTCCATTACATCCCCTATCTGAGCTGCCACTCCTCTGTCTGCTTCACCACCTTTCTGTCTCCCCCACACCCACACCCCCAGCTCATGGCCCAAGGGAACTTCCTGAAATGCACCTTCTGCAGCATGCCCCACTTGAACGCTTTCTCTGTTGTCCTGCCTCCCATGCATGTCCTTCTCATCTCCTGCACCTCCACCACAAGCACCGTGCTCCACAGGTGCTGAAATATCCCCAGGTGTTCTTCTATATCTTCAGTTTTCATGAGCTGATTTGGGGTGCTCTTTCTTCCTAATCCATCCAAGCCAACTACCACTCATTCTCCAAGGCCAGCTTAAGTGTCATTGATTCCCAGCAGGCTCTCCTGGCCCACTGTTGGGGTGAGCACCCTCCTTTGGGGGCTCTCAGTCCTGGCAGCCCTTTTCAAGGGTTTCACTGTGTTGTCTTCACCCCCTCACCCAGCCTCAGAGTCCTCTGGTATAGGTCCACCTGGACTGTGGACAGGAGCTGATCTATTTTCCTCAACTCTCCCTCAGGTCCAATGGCACAGTAACTGCCAAAAGCTCTAGGAACTGACCATCACCCACAGCAGGGGCGGGTGTGTGTGTGTGTCCATTCAGCAGTGAGTGGTCTAGACTTAGGGAGAAACAAGGGAAAAGGAGAAAACAAAGAAGCAGCCCCACCTCCCTTTCCGCCTAGTCCCAACTAATTCCAGTTAGTTCCTAAAAGTCTGGCAGCCCACACTGCTTTTACTGGAAGCTCAAAATGGACGATGGAGAGGGGTTAAACATCACTTGACTTACTGACTCCAAGGATGGAGAGGTGACTTGTCAATTATGGGATGTATTTCTCTACTGTTTATAAGTTAAAACTGCACCGATCTTGGAAATAACGTATCTCCTTAGTGTGCAAGCATGTGTCAGCCCAGCTGTGAGTGGGAATGAGAGTGAGTGTGAGGTGTTGGGTGTTAGAACCTCAACATATGGGTAGAGGGGACACAACTCAGTTCGTAACACTCGCCTCCCGACCCAAGTAGGACCTCTGAAGCCTCAGTGCGAGGCTGGCAGGGACACGTAACCACATGTGATCGCATGTGTAGGTGAGTATGAGTGCATGTCCCTAATGTAGGGGTGTAAGAGCACCTGTGTGCATGTGTATAAGTGGTTGTGAGTGCATGTGAGCACCTGTTTGAGCATGGGTGTGAGAGAGTAAGCATATCTTTGCTTTGACAGAACAGCTTGGTGTATCTGTAAGGAGGCCTGACCACCCACACTGAGGTGGTCCTACTAGGGCCGGGCACCCTCCATTCCAAGACTGAATCTCCAGAAATTGAGAAGGGGGAGCGTATGGGCTGAGTTGGGCCCCCTCCATCTCTATATTAAGGCTCTAATACCCAGCACCTCAGAATGTTCTTCTATGGAGAGACAGGGCTAGTAGGGAGGTAATTAAGTCAAAGTGAGACTATTAAGGGAGGCACCACTCCAATATGACTGGTGTCCTATAAGAAGAGATTACGACAGAGACACACTCAAAGACAATAAGGAAACACAAGGAAGACGCTGACGCTGCCTACAAGGGGAGAGAGAGGTAGGCCGGAACTGAGCCTGGTGACACCTTGACCTTAGACTTTCTGCCTCTGGGACTGTGAGAAACAACATTGCTGTACTTGTCAGTGGCGCTTTGCCATGTCAGCCTAGCTAACCACCATAGGCATGGATACAGGGTACGAAGACATCACCCTTCCCTTCTCACCCAAAAGGGGAGCCCAGAATCACCCTGGGTGTTGCAGAAGAGGTGCTTCTCAAAGCCAGGCCAGATGCAGGCCAGGGGGCCACTGCCAGGCTATACCCTTGGGACTCTAAGGATGGACTTCGTGGAGGCATGATCCCAAACTTCTTCTTTCACTCTTCCCCCTTTTCTGTTACCCGGATTTTAGTGGGGTACTCTGTAGAATCTGGTGTTTGCTCTGGGGAGCCTGAATCAAGGGTGGAAGTGGAGAAGGAAGCCTGTATCTGCCACGCCTGTGCACCCAGGTACCTGTGAAAGGTCACTCTGGGGGTGTGATGTTGACCTTACAGAACTGGGGGTGACAAGAGCGAACCTGGATGTGACACTCAAGGGCAACTCCCAGGGCCACCTGAGGTGCGGGATACACACACTCTCCTCTCACAGCCATGTGCTGGGAGGAGGCCCTCTGCAGCCCCAGGGACGGGTACTTGGGGCTTCTCATGGCTTAGGCCTCCCCATCAAAGGTGTTCTCAGAGGAAGAGCAGGGTTAAGAATCCTCTGGGCTCAAACCCCTGACAGGCAGAGTGAATGGTTGTTGGCATAGCAGTGTACGCAAAACAACACCTGCAAGCTCAGCTTTAATAAACATCCCTAGAGTTTTGCATTTTAGAAAATCCAGAAAGAAACTTTAATCCTAGCAGGCAGAAAAGTTGTGTGTCACTTCAAAAAGCTAAACTTGGTTTTGAATTGCCTCAGGATGTTGGGAGGGGTTCCATGTCTTCTCTATGTTCAAGAGTCCCCCTGACCCTGGTCTCTCCCTTTCTGAAAAGCCCCAAAGTCAGGATTTGGTGGGAACTATGAAGAAGTCATCCTGTTTTCACATTCCACCAACAGAAAAGATTCCCTGATCCTAATACCCTAACTCTTCTGTGTGAAAATACCAGCCCTTCCTACTTTACCTTTCCAACTGAAAAGTATGTGCAGATCACCCCCAAGATCATGTCTCCAGGTGAGCAGATCAGAGCACCCCCTCATTTCTCCATATGCCCCTTTATCTGGCCACAGCTGTATACTGACCTCTCTCCTCCTTTTTGAAACACACCAACTGGACAGTTGCCACAGGCTTTACTTCTCAAATCCAAATTGCTTACAAAATTATCTCAAAATGGATAATAGTGTAACTGCTAAAACTAAGAAACTCTTAAAGGAAAACATAGGCACTTTCTTCATACCTTGGCTTACACCAGGGTTTCTTAGCTATGATACTGAGAACATAAACAGAAGAAAAACTGGATAATTGAACTTCATCAAAATCAAAATCTTTTGTACTTCACAGGCCTTTTGGGAAAGTGAAAAGATATATATTTGCAAATACATATCTGACATGGTACTTATATCCAGAATACTAAAGAACACGTCCAGCTAAAAAATAATAAGGTAACCCAATTAAAACATGAACAAAGGATTTGAACAGACATTTCACCAAAGATGACATAAAATGGTCTATAAACACATGAAAATAGCATCAGGCTCCAGGGAAACACAAATAAAAACCACACTGAGACGTTGTGTTAACCCTACTAGGATGATTATAATAATAATAATTTAAAAAAGACAGATAATGTGCATTTGTGAGAAAGTGGAGAAATTGAATGTCTGTACAATACTGGTGGGAATGTAAAATGCCGTGGCTACCTCAACTCAAAAAGTTAAACATGGAATTACCAGGTGACTCAGCAATTCCTCTCATACGTATGCATTTAAAAGAACTGAAAACAAATACCCACAAAAAGTTGTACATGAGTGTTTATAGCAGTGTTATGCATGATAATCCCCAAATGGAAATAGCCCAAATGTCCATCAGCTGATGCAGTGTAGTCATACAGTGGAACATTATTCTGCCGTAAAAAGGAATGAAGTACTGACACAGGTGACAGGGATAAGCCTTGAAAACATTATGCCAAGAAGCCAGTCACAGTGGCTACACACTGCATGCTTACATTTATATGAAGTATCCAGAATTGGCAAATCCAGAGAACCAGAAATTAGTGGTGGCTTCATTAGCAGGGAGGGGCAGGAATAGGAATGACTGCTGTTGGGAGATTTCTTTTCAGGTATGAAGTGTTTTATGGCACTTATGGCAATAGTTACCCAGCTCTGCCCATCCTAGAAATCATGACTGTACACATACAGTGGGTGAATGGCATGACATGTAAATTAGAGAGTGATAGCATTGTTATCCCAGAGTTAAGATAAAACATGCCTGGTCCCTTTTATTTCCTGTCCCTTTGCTAGCTCTAGAAAGTGACTTAGTCCCCTCAGCCTCCCTTGCTGGACTTTCTGGAAACTGATTCACATTTGGATCACAGTGGGTGTGGCGAGGAGCAGAGTTTACTTACCTTCTACCTGGTAATACACATTGCCGGCGAAATGGGTGATGCCAAATCTGGTATCATGGATGTTCTTGGGCTTCAGGAAGGCCTGGTTCTTGGCATGGACACTGTTCAGTTTTTGCAGCATGGTGATATCTGTCCCCTGGAAGAGCACAGATGTCCTGGGTGTTATGTTCCAGCATGCAACTCCAGGGACTGCAGTCACCCCCACTGTGCTCATGGGCTCTCCCACTGGAGAAAACCAACTGGGCTCACAACCACTGAGGGCCTTTCTACAGACAGGAGGCTGCTGCCCAGGAGTTATGACATGTCAGAGCGAGTGAAGACTAAGCTGGTAACAGGGTCTGCTGGCCTTCACCACCTGCTTCACTCTGCCCTACAAAAGTCCAGATGCCCTGACCCTTGCTTCTGACAATCTCTCTCCCAAGGACAGGCAGAGTCCCCCCTCCCCCGCCCCCCCCCCAGGCCAAGTATGAACACGGTTCCTTTTCTATACCTGCTGCTGCCTTTTGGTGCCTAACAGATCCTCTCTTGGGGGTGTGTTCTTGATCTAAACCATGACCATCTGCCAGAGACTAGGAATGAGGACAGTCCAGAAGCTTTCCTGCAGGAGGGGTATGTGACACACCTGCGGGAAGTGGCTCTCCTCATCCAGCAGGGAGATGACACTCATGGGCTTGAGGACGAGCAGGTCCAGGGTGGGCCGGTTGTCAGTGTACTGGATGTGCTCCCAAGGGATGTTTTCCGAGCAGTACTCCTCCTGCTCCATGGTGAACACATGCTGCACGAAGAACTGCTGCAGGTGCTCGTTGGCCAAATTGATGCAGAGCTGCTCGAAGCTGTGGAGATGCCACCGCCCAGAGGCAGGAAGGGTTAGCTGAGCCCCAGCAGAATCAGGGTCACTAGCCATGTGCACACAGCCACACACACCACAGTGAGCACCCTGTTTACTGGGAGCCCCCCTTCTCTCTGCTCCCACTACCATCACCTCCACCCCACTCCAGAAAAAAGATTAAGGGCACTAAGAGGCCCAGAGTATTGTCAAATCTTTGCCTTGGTCTCCTTAGGAGTCCCGGCAGGGTCCTCTAACAGGCCTGCCTATTGCAACACAGAGACGATCCTCAGGGACCAACAAACATCCCCAGCTCTAATCAGTGACCTTAGTATTAAGACAAGCGTCCAGAGATCCAGCCCGCCCCTTTGTATCAGCCACATATACCCCTTACCTCTGCCCCAAACCTCCAACCTGATTGTCCTCCTGGGTTTATGATGCTGAGCTCACCAGCTCTGGCTCCAGGCAGAAACCCAGGAGCCAGGCTTCACCTCTTTGTCCTCTCCTCTCCCATCAGTCAGTTAGCAAAAGGCAAGTCTAGGAGACCTCCAGGGCAGCACCCTGCCCCGCCTACTGCTTCTCACTCTCACTGCTGCTTCCTTCATCTACACCACCCTCATTGCTCACTTGAGTGCTACAGGGGCCTCCTAATGTTACCCCCTGCCTTGAGCCTCACCATGCACCAGTGTACTCATGCCTGGGGTGGGGTTGGGGGGCTAGTGGGGGGTTGAGGTGTCGGAAGCCTTCTGAAGTGAATGCTGCCTTGCTTCAGATCCCACCCGGTCCCCTCAGGTTTCCAGCTGGGATGGATAGTGATGCAGCAGAATGCCTGTTTGTCTTCCCCAGGAAGCAGCCAGGCAGCTCCTTCTGATCTCCCAGTTATCACACAGATGTCCCCTGGTTTCTCTTCTCATCACCAGTTGCATTTGTTCACACGCTAGGTCCCACTTAAGCACTTCTTCCTTGGCAATGGTCGCCCATTTATGCAAAACCTGGTCAGACCTGAGCTGATTATTCCATGTCTGTTAACCCAAGAGGTCAGGGGACAGTTCTATTGTGCTCCTCCCCTACATGCAACCTGGAGCTGCTCCATGAAACTTCAGAGCAGGTGTGATAGTGTGGGTGGTCAGGTGTTGAGTGGCATCACTCCTCCTTAACAGTGCCCAGACCACAACCTTCACAAAGCTCACTTGTGGCTTGAGGTGCCTGCATCATAGCCAGATCCCTCACAACCATCTGATCCGTCTCCAAAGTGTCCAAGGTCATGCTTGGTCTGCTTGCCTCTCGGGCCAGAAACCAGTGATGGGAGTCACATTAGAGTTCACTGTTCCTTAGCACTCCCAATGCGTGGCTGAGATCTGCCAGCCCTGCTCCATGCCACCTGGCATGGTTAGCAGCTCGCTGCTCTGCCCTGCCTGCTCAGCTGGGTCTGGGCAGGCCACCAGCCCGGTGTACATGCATTCGTGCAGTTGGAATAGTTTGTGTCTTGACACCCATGGCTCACCAAGGGGCCTTCTCTAACTCAGAGACAGAGCTTTCTGCAGGCACATGCCAAGGTCAGGCCAGCTCATGGCTCCTCTGCCAGGGCCCAGAGGACTTTACCAGCCCAAGACTCTGTCCTGCATGAACCAGTCTTGCTGGGAGGCTGGGTTGCCTCTCGAACACTTTCTGCTGCTTTTCAGAATGCGCTGTCCTTATTTTCTTCATTTGACCTGATTATGTCCCGGAGCATTCGCTTCCTTATTTGACGTACTACCCAATACGCTTTGTCACCCTTGTTTATCCCCAGCCTGTCCTTTATCACAGTGACAGCTGGGTGTCAGTTTTCTGATCTGCCTCCTGGTTATAGCTCATCAGCCCCAGACAGGGGCACTGGCATACTGCATGTGGGGTGTCCTGCCTTATCTTAGCCCTCCTAAGTGCAAAAGTCAGGAGTGACCCACATAGCTCTCCCTTTGCTCTATTACCTAGAATGATTTCCCACCTGTGGACCCAGTTGGATCAATGCTACAGATTTCCATTTTACTCCAACTTCATGGGAAAAATCACACTAGTCATGAAAACTCTCAAGAGGAGTGACAATGGCTGGGTTCTCGGTCTGGGGACCTATGTATTGCCATTTAGCTGCGGAAAGCTTCTGGCTGGCTGAGCAGATTCCTCTAGCATCTTGGAGCAGAAGTGAGGCCTCACTACCAGTGTGGTGTTGGAGGGGGGGTGCCCTAAAGGCTAAGTTTAACTTCCACTTTCTGAAAGCAGATGAACTAAGATTTTCATACCTATTTTTCTGGAAATTTTCAAAGCCAAAGATATCCAGGAGGCCAATGGCCTTTCGCACATTTTTGGGGTCGTTAGTAGGTGGAGTGAAAATCACACTGTTGATTTTCTTGACAATCCACAGGAAAAGTTGCCCATAGATTCCCTGGGGAGAAATGGAGTAAAGCACAAAGGTTTTGAAGTCAGAAGGCTGCCCCTTTCTCCAGGTTCACCTGGTTCTCAACAACTTAGTTTAATAGCAAGAAACACAGGCTGAGAAACTAGGAAACCCATAGATACCAAGCAGGTGACTGGCGGAGTCAGGACTTGCCCAGCTACCTCTACGCTTCCCAAGTGAACTGTTGGTGAATGCTGACCAACAGGGCAAAGAGCCATGTTCAAGCAACAAACACACCACCACCCCCTCTCAGCTCTGCACCTTGACAAAGGCATCCCGCCGATCAGCAGCCTGGGTGATATTCAGGGGTGTGGTGACTAACTCCCCACGGACGATGATGGAGTGCTTGATTAGACAATCCTTCAGTTCCTGATGCTTCACCTGGGGAAGACAAGGAGGTGGCATTACAGCTGGTCAAGCAGGACCGGTGCCAGTTATCTGCCCTCGTGTTCCTTAAGTTATACTTTCTTGTGGCCAAATATCCTACACCCAACCTGGGGGTCCTGAACTTGGGCCAGGCAAGATGGGGGCCAGAGCCAGGGTCCTGGGAAGCCCAGACCCTGGATGAACACTGGAATATCAGAGAGTTGGGCAGGGAGGCATAGTTGGGAGGACTCAGGGCAAGGTGGCTCCTGAGAGCTGGGAAAGGCAAGTGATACTGGGAGGATCTGAGAAAATTTTAAGCAGGGAGGGTCTGAAGCCAGTCCTTTGCATCAGGATTTTCTCCACCTGAAGTCACTCCTACTGGGATGCTTATAGAAATAAGAAGAGTCTGGATGTGCCAGACTACACCCTCTACATAAGGAAAATGGCGCCTGCAGAACTTCAAAATTTCTAAGAACCCTAGGCCAAATGGAGAACACTAGCAGGAAAATGAGCCCTGATGTTGCTTTTTTTTTTTTTCTTCTGCATCTATTAACTTTCCACCTGCACTACGAGTGGGCGTGATGTGGAAGACATGACAATGTCCCCAGAGCAAAGTTCATCCCCACCTAACGTCAGTCAGGCTGCTTCCAGTCTCTATGTGGCTTCTGTAAAGTGTGGCAGCCTAGTGATGAGGCCCATTCACTTTCCCACAAGAGTATAATTCACAGGAAAATGTGTGGACAGAGGACACAGTGCTGGCATTTTTTAATGGGAGATAAGGAAGGTCCAGCACCAGGTATGTGACCTAGTGGGAGAGCTTGGTGTTGGGGCTGGGTGGAGAGTGAAGATGGTAAGTGAAGGGTAAATGGACACAGAAAAGGGAGAAAAATGTATGTTAAGGTCAAACTGATCCTCACTTCTTTGTTAATGATTAGCTCACGTTGCCCCACCCTGATGCCCACCCTCACTGCCAGTCATGTGTAAAGAATGCAAGGGCAAAGCTGAGATCTGGTAGAGGGATGAGAGGCAGAACTGGAACCTGGAAGAATTACAACTATTAGGAGTTGGGCTCTGTCAGCCCAACCCTAAGGGCTACTCCCCCTAGTGAAATCTGGAAATCTCCCTCAGTTACCTCCAGTAACTTCAGCACAATGGGAAAAACAGGTGTCTCCTTCAGCTCTGATGAATCCAAGTTTTCAACGACTGAAGCTGTAGAGGGAAGCAGTACTTCTTAATGCCAAGGAATTCTGAGTAGTGGGGGAGAGGGCCCAATAATGTCGGGTGTATAGCAGCCCCATATCCACACATGAGAGCTAAGGGTTCCAGGTAGGAGGCTCTGCCTGTACCAAGGCTTCTCTTAGGGAACCACTGTCCCTGTGATTATCTGCACAGTAGCTGTACAATGGGCAGGAACTAAAGGGAAGTTGAAGACAAGAGGCGTCTTTGGAGGGAAAAAGCTGTGGGGGCCAGACAGGTCTTATTCTACAGAAACATGGGCATTCGCTTCCTCACTCATTCATTCAAACACTAACCTAGAACCGCCTAAACCTGGCCCAGCCTTAGTGCAGTAGCCTCCTGAATGGTATCCCTAGTTCAAGTTCCTCCTCTTTCAGTCTACCTCCACCTTAGAGCTGTCAGGCTGGAGTGGGGGGTTGGTAAGAAAAATGTTGTTGCTGTGATTTTTGTCTTTCTTAAACTCAAAACATATATAAAATAAAGCATACAGATTTTTTAAAAAAGCGCACTGGCATATTACAATTATTAGTCAACACCGTGTAGTCACCGTGAAAGCTGAAATACAGAGCCAGCATCCAAGTACCTCCAAGGTCCTCTTCTTGCTGAGACCATGTTCCTCTCCACTGGGTAACCAGACTCCCAACTTTAATGGGAACTAATTCTTTGTTGTTGTTTTCAGTTTTTTATTAACTATTGAGGATATTTGATTTAACCTGCTCACCAGTGTGTGATCTTTCTGCATTCTTATATAGCATTTCATTTTACAATGTAACATTTCATTGTTTTTGAAATGTTATGCAAGAATGACTATTTGTCTGTGTTCTTCAGTACTTGTCAATTTATTGGACATCCATGTCCTAATGTGCATTCTAGGCTCCAGCAGAAGAGTCCAGTTGGGCAAACTGCATGGTCACCCTAGTGACAGCTCTCCATCTAGTGGGTTTTCTTATATGATGTGAGACAGCAGCCCATGTTCATGTTTTCCATAGTGACATACAGGTGTTCCAGAACAGTTTATGGAGAAATTTGTCCTTTGTTCATTGTTTTGTTAACTGTTGTTTCTCATTAGACAACTATAATCTCTTCAAATTAGCCATGCAAATTCTTTAGCTCTTTTCCTTTAAGAACCAATTCAATGTTTGTTACATCTTCTTACTGTCCTCTAGGTCTTCTTGTCTTGTTCTTGTGTTTCATCTTTTTTATTTCTCCATGCTGTACTCAGAGATCTGTGACTTTTTCCCTAGCTCACACTGTTTCCTCTTCACAAGTATAAAATTGGCTGTTAAGTTCATTGAGTTCTTAATTTTGAATGCATAGATTTTTAATTTTATAATTTCCATGTCGTTCTTTTCAAAATCTGTAGTGCCACTTTCTATAGTTTCAAGGTCCCTAAGCGTTTAGGGCTGGCATTTACTTTTCTTGAACATATCCATCATAGGTTGCTGTGTCCAATAATGCCAAATCTGAAATCTTTGTGGATCTTTTTCTATTGCCCATTATTTCTGTTGGTTCTTGCTCATGGTTTCTTGCTTCTTTTTTTTCTATTTATTTTTGCCTGCAAACTGGAAGTTGTGTTTGAAAACTATTTAAAGAAATAATTTGTAACCTAGGTTTATGTTTGTCTCTTCCAGAGAGGGATATCAGTAACTTCTGTCAGGGTCTTGAGGGTACTAAGAGACCTTAATTCCCAAACCCTGGATGCCTATATACTGGTTTTCAAGTTCATAAAAGACCTTGTTTATTCTGGTTCATCCTTACCCTTCTGAGAGAGGAAGGGAGTGGCAAGATTATCGTGTCAGATCTTCATCTTTGGAAGACCCTAAAGGTTGAGGTTGTAACTAGAATTCAATGTATTTTTCCAAGACAGGGTGACACAGTTATGGAAAGTCTGTCATTATGAGAAATCAGAATTTCCATTGCTAACTTATGTTATGACCTCCCTTTTTTGTATATTAATAATATCAAAATATTCTGAGCAACCATCAGTTGACAATTGGATTGCCTTAGCCTCATAAGGCAACTGCCTGGCCCAGGCAGGCTGCCCCAGGGTGGGAAATTCTTCTGTCTCCTGAGACAAAAAGCAAGTCCCAGGAGAGACAAGACCCTCGGAGCATAAAGACTACTGGAAAGCTTCCTCAATTTTTTTTTTTAAATAAAAAGCAAATCTCAGATAAGACCCAGATAAGGACTCCTGGACAATTTTTAACCTTGTTTACACAGGTGTTGCTTAATGCACAACTGTACAACTTTTTCTTAATTTACTCCTTTTAAACAATCCCTAATGACTCTCTGCAAGCCTTAAACTACCCTTTTCTTAAACAAACACTATCTACTCTGCTAGCCTTAAATTAGCCATTAGCTTCTCTTTAGACAATCTAAATGACTCTAATGACTCTGCTAACACAATTTGTTCCTTCCTTAAGGCCCCTAACAATCTTTTGCTAACAGCTCATCCTTTCCCAGACCTCTCTCCCTTTGAGTTATAGTTAAACATCTGTATATGTGACAATTGTCATAAATATGTATAATTTACTATACCATAAAGTGTCAGGAAGAAGATGCATTGTTCCCTTCTTCCTTGAAAACATTTATGACAATTTATGGCAATTTCTCATTAACTTACCCTATACATTATTGTAATTAACTACTTGCTTCACAGTATAAATAAAGACCTGCTGAAAAAAGGAGCAGGAAGACTTGCACCCAACTCTGACTCCTGTGTCTTCCTTGCACCCGCTTCCCTTTCCCCTTCTTGGAATCTCCGCCCACCGAAGATTTCCCACCTTAGGGCCTTGCCTGTCTCGCCCCTCGGCAACTCGATATTTGGGGCTGGTCCCTGACAACAGGGTTAGACTATGTGATCTGGGCAGGCACTTAGGTGAGAACCCCAGCAACTTCTTTCTCCTCCAGTACCAGTGCCCTCATTCTTCCTTCCCAGGGAGTGCAATTGGGGTGGAAACAACATTACCCATAAATTCCACATTCCCCAGGTGGAGAATGGCTGCAAGCAGCTTGCTGATGTCCCAGGTCTCGGAGTCGGAGAATGTGAGGATCTTCAAGGCGGAGCGGACGTGGGCATAGTCCTTGGCGTCATCGTGCCCCTCCCAAGAGGTGCAGTTCCCCTGCAGATGAGGGCACCTCAGCTTCTGGGGGGTACCCCTTACCCCACCTGCTCCATCAGAAGGCCAGTGAAACAGACACCTCAGGGCCTCTGTTGAAGGCTCTAGTACATGATATTTCCCAGGCTCTGGAGGACCCGAAGGGCCATGTGGAAGCCCAAACTCAGAAAATAAACAAAAGTCCTTTCAGAGACAAATCATGATTCTAAGTAAATGGGATACCAGGCTTTGAGGTCAGTGCTCGGTAGGTTATCCATGTAGCCTTTGCTAAGACATTAGCTTCTGTTCATCACCTACACCCATTGTAGCCTGTCTCACCTTATCTGGGGAATACATGGTTTCACCCCTTTAGGAAATACTTTCCAAGGTTTACCCTGTGGCATGAAATCCATGAAACTGGGGTGATTGGAGATGATTCCCCATGACCCCACGGGTCAAAAAAGAATGAGGTTCTACTGGGACAAAAAGGAATGAGGTTCACAGGGGAAAACCGTGGACTTAGTGGGAAAAATGAAGCATCAGACAATAGCCAGTCTCTGGCTCATAAGATAAATGCAGGCACAAGGGGAGTGGTGTGGGAAACAATAGGGAAACCCTCAGCTCCCATCTCAGAGGCCTAGCTAGAGTTTGGGCTTGTGTGAAGTAAAGGTTGAGGTGACCCCCACTCTTCTCTTTCTTTCTCTGTTTTCATTGGAGAGGTGGGGTAAGAAAGTGAGGTGGGAACCAGCAGATAGGAGGAGAGAAGAGGCAGGGGGATGATGTGGGGTGGGTGATGGGGAAGAGACAGAGGGCTGAACAGGGAAGAAGAGAACAAGGGGAGGGTGATGGGGTGGTCGGAATCTCACCATGGTCAGGTAGTGGTACTCAGAGGGCATCCCCAGGCTCAGCAGCTTCTTCTCCTCTGCATTCATCCCCAGGAGCATGCTATAGAAGATGTGGTAGTTGCGCTCCTCCGGGGCCTGTTGGGGAGAGTGTTCCTAAAAACCTGCAACCCTACAATTGCAGCACCTCAGCCCTGTCCTGGCTTCTCCCCAAGGTCTCTCAGCTAGGTAAGGCTTGGCCTTGAGCTCAAGGACTACCTGACCTGGCCATGCTCATCACCCTGGGCCTCCATGGCAGGCACATCCCACAGCTCTATGCTAAAAGCCACTGTACCCAGGGAACTCATCACTCTGCTGCTGGAGCTTCTCTGCCTCTCCACTGCTCTTGAAATCTCCCTAAGTGGAGTCATAAACCTAGGAGTAATGTTGGAGTTAAACTGGGGCTGACTCAAACCTCCTGCTCTTTACAGTGTACCCAGAAACCTTCCTGTTCACTTCATGAGCCTAAAGGCCTATAGCCAACCTCGCTAGGCCTTCGGTATTTTCACACTATTTATGAACACATTCCCATTGTGAAAACCAAAACCATCTGAAGCCTATAGTGTTAAAAGGTGAGCATTTCCTTCTAACCTACATTCCCATTTTTCAAATTCTCCTTTTTTTGCCTCCCCAGAACCATAGAGCATCTGTGTTCCTAGCTATACAGTATTAATGATTCCTTATAGTCTATCTATATATAAGTTTTCCAGAGATTTATTTATTTATGCATATAAGAACTGGGGTGTAGACCAGAGGTGTGGGGGTGAGACAGTTCACCAGAGACAGAGTGGGGAGCAGAACAGGCAGATCAACTGAAATACACTACTGAAGGGAGCAGCGAGTAGGTCAGGAGAGGTATGCCTTGCCAAGTGGGTCACCTCCCTGGCCAGGCATCAAACTTGTGCTGCAATGGCTGTGGATACCTTCATAGTGCTGTGCTTTAAGCCACTGTGCCACCAGGGAGGGATCTATATATAGTTTTTATTTCATCTCTATGCTTCTCAGAAACTGTTGCACAGAGCTCACCCTTGCACTTCCCAGTCTAAGTATGCCATCATCTCCCCGTCTCTTTCTCATCATGACAAAGCTTGAGTCTGACCTTCTTTTGAAGTATCTTGTCTGTTTTGGGGTACCTCTTTCAGTAACAAGTTTTGTGAATTCACCAGACTATAAGTCAAACTGACTCTGTGGCTCTGGGACAAATGGTTTCACGAACCCAGACCCAGACCTACCTGTCATGACTGCTGTGGAGATCAAATTAGAACTACACGGGAGATACTTGATATGGAAGGTAAGCTTCCATCTCTAGCCTTCCAGAGTGCAATGTGTTGGCCCCTCCCCACCCCCAGTCTCTGTTGTGTGTGTGTTTGTGTGTGTGTGCTTATGCACACACATGTCAGACCTTATGCCATCTGGGAGCACCCCTGCAAGGCGGTGTTAATTCTTCTGGTGTGGGTGCCACACTTTGAGATCTTTGCCATTCAGAATGCCATACATGATTTTTGGGACTCAATGCCAAATGGAAACTCTCCTGTTTTAGAAGTTATTAGGGATTTCAAGATGGTGATACCAGAATGGTAAAGCAAATAAAAGGTCCTTCTGAGCAGGAGGCTCTATATGACAGCACAGGCCACAGGCCGCTCACCCCCCTGTCCAACTGACCTTTTAGACACTGTCATCCAGCTCCCTCTGCCATGAACCCCCAACATACCTGAAGAAACACTCCACTAAGTTGGTGAAAGACCTGCCCTCAGAATCACTTCTAGCAGAGGTGAGGTATAGTAACCACCAGAGAGAAGGCAACAGAAAATCCTAGCACTTCTTTTCTTGAATACTAGGGGAGAAATATCATATTCCAACTCTAAGGGTGCTTGGCCCATCTCAAGGTAAAGCCAGGGTTCAGTGGCAGCAAGCTATGGCTCACAGGAGTCTAGAGAGGTCCTTGCCGAGGAAGACAGGAAGAGTGAGAGTGAGTATAGTAGGCCCCCATAGGGGCCTCTGTGATCCCCTGACTCCCCACCCCAGGGCAGCGGGAGGTGGCCAAGAAAAGGACCAGTGCTCAAAGACCAGTGGATGTCTTACCTGCCGGCAGACCCGGGACTTCTCCAGAAGGAATTGCTCAATGCATGCACCCTCTATCACCCCGCTGGAGTTGAAGTAGATGTCAATATATTTCCCAAAGCGGCTTGAGTTGTCATTGCGGGTTGTCTTGGCATTTCCAAAGGCTGTGGGTGGATGGATAGGAAGAGAAAATTTCTTTTTAGTTGGGTGATCTGGGAAGGTATATCAGAGGAGGAGGCCAAGTCTGAAACTGACAAGTTGGAGATTTCACTGGACAGTGGTGTGGCGAGGGTATGCTAAGAGGAAGGCGAAGTGCAGATAATGGTTCCGACATCAGGCATGGGTGTACTTGCAGAGGGGACATTGGTTATAGTGTGGCAAACAGGAAGAAAACAGAGGACAAGAAATAGAACTAGTTAGTAGGAGGGGCCAAATAGTCCAAAGCCAAGATATTTGGAATTACTTTTGCAGGTGGTAGGGGAGGCAGGAGAGCTTCTAAGAAAGTAAGGGGGAAGATTTCCATATAGACTTCAGGGAAGAAGCAGGATTACACTGGCAGGACAGTGGCAAGAGCTGGCATGGGCCTGGGCACAGGTAAGAGGTTAGAAGAAAAGGCTTTGGGGTAAGGCATGATCTAAAGTGCATTTCATAAAGCTGCTCTGGAAACATTGCTGTTGTGATCCCTAGCAAGAAAGACACATTGCATTATGTCCTATTACATACACACCCCTGCCTATACACATACTTTTTTTTTTTTTAACATTTGATCCTCATTTTCCTCTTAAGTATATAGTAAATTCAGAGGCACTGTGGAAATTTCAGAGAACTCACAAAAGTTTAAAGTTAGAATTCAAAATCACCTTACTGTCAGAGATAGTCACTGTTAACAGTTTGGTATATTTTCCAACAGTATTCATGTTTACACGTGTGTGTGTGTGTGTGTATGTGTAAATGTGTTCTTCATCAAAATTGAAACCATCTGGGCTTCCCTGGTGGTTAAAGTTTCAGTGCTGTTAGCCACTGCTGCATGGGTTTAATTCCTGGACAGGGAGGTGACCTAGATGGTGCAACAGACCCCTCCTGACCTGTCCACTGCTCCCCTCATCAGTGTATTTCAGTCAGCCCTCCTGTTCTGCTCCCCACTCTATCTCTGGTGAATTCTCTCACTCCCCTCACCTGTGGCCTACATTTCAGTTCTTGTATGCATAAATAAATTTTTAAAAGTCTTTAAAAAGTTGAGACTATCCTAAAATCTGTATAATGTTATTTCAATTAAAAAATTAAGGACATCCTTTTTACTTATAATTCTGTCATGAGCAATTCCTTAAAGCAGTACATGTTTGTGATTTTAATGACATAATTAACATTTTTGTACAAAAATTTTTGTTTGTATACAATTATTTCCTTAGGATAAGTACCATGGAGTTACTGAGTCAAAATCGATAAACATTTAAAAGTTTGTGGTGCATATCTGTTCACCTAATTAAAAGAAAATATCAGCTCTTACTAAGAGTCAGGGCTGGACTACTTTCTAGTCTGTGCCATTTAACTTGTTCTAAAATACTGACTTCATGACTCTGGGGTAGGTTGGGATGCAGCTGGAAAATACTACCATAAAGCCTGAGTCTCATGAAGTAAGGTGATGGCACTTCTTGGTTACAGGTTTAAGAAGCAATGTCCTTTTCCTCTCCCTGGATGAGTCCCACAGCATAGTAGAAGCTCTGAGAAGTCTCAGAAACCTCCTCGATATTGCTGAACCCAGTGGCAGTGAAGAAAGAACCAGGTGCAGGCTTTTTAGGGTAAAAATGAACAAGTTGATTCTAAAATATATAAGGAAATGTAAGGGACCCAGAATAGCTAAGTTTGAAAAAGAAAAGCAAAATTGGAGGAAATGTGTTAACTGGATGCAAAACTTACTGAAAAGCTACAGAAATCAAGACAGCGTGGCTTTGGGGAAAGGAAAGACACAGGGGAACAGATTAGGGAATCTGGACATAGGCCCACACATAAACTGTCAGCTGATGTTAGACAAAGGTGCAAAGCAAATCAGTGAGAAAGAACAGCCTTTGACAAACAGGGCTGGAATGACTGGGTATTTATATATCCATGTCCATATATGTATCCATAGCTATTTTATCTATATCTACATTATAGAGAGTGAAGAATTTTCCTACCCATTTCCGCCTCTGCCCTCCTCTTCCTTTGCAGGTTTCATCCTCAATAAACTTTCAGCCCTAACTTAGCAACTTCTTCCTAGAACACCCAAACTGACACACCCAGCATTTCCCAATTTTTTTCTCTTGTGCCCTCTGTAAAAGCACTCTGTAAAAGTCTGTGGAAGCATCTGTGAGAGCTTATAAGGTCATCTGTCTTCTGGAAACCTCTGCTACTATCACCCTGTGGTTGTCCTAAGGGATTCTGAGCTGTTTGGGAGGTGTATGGCCTATTCTGTCCTTGCATGAGCACCTCCTGGCAGGAAGCGTCCAGAACAGGGTGGGGAAGGAGGGGTCATTCCAAGGGTGACTGCTTACCTTCCAGGATGGGGTTGGCCTCCAGAATCTGCTGCTCGATCCAGGAGTGCTGGCCGCTGATGGTAGCAAGGAACTGCAGGATGAGTTTGGTGGACTCTGTCTTCCCTGCCCCAGACTCACCACTGTGAAAGGGATACAGGGGCATCAATCAATAGAACAACTATTCAACTCTCCTTCAAACACGTCCTTGTCCTGCCTTCCTGATCAGGCTGAGTGTGATGCTCTGTCCTCGGGCAGAAACCCCACCATATGTACTGTGGAGTCCCCTGTGGGTCTTTTCTTTCCTGCTGGGCCATGAACCCTTTGCAGTCTTGGTTGCAGCTGGTTCATTCTGGCATCACCAGCACCAGCTTCAGTAAGTTAGATGGATGAATGAGATCAGAGGATGCAGACCTGGGGAAGGGAAGGCAGGGGGCACGACTTTCTAGATCCACAGCGATGCTCTGTTACTGCAAGAGGCCCAGGATGAGGGCCCCCATCCCCCTCTCCAGGTGTGGCTGTCCTGGAGGTGAAATGGCCCTATGAGCTCTTGGCCTACAGCCTACTCTCAGCCCCACTCACTTCACTTGCTCCCTGAGCGGCCTCCTGCAGGAAGGTTGGTCCTCCCAGTCTCGGGAGCAGTTGCGAGACTGCTCCACAGAAAAAGCTGGAGGAGCAGAGTACCAGCTCTTCCTGGCACAGGATGCCCATTACTTTTGGAGAGTAGAAGTCACCCTGGACACATCTCTGCTTTTTCAGGGCCCTGGGTTTGGATACCCTATTAACAGCTGTGCGTTGCTGTGAAAGGATCCCAACCTCTCTGGTAGTAGGTTTCCTCAGCAGAAAAACAGGAATGAGAATATCTATTTCTATTGGGTGCTGAAACATTCAACATGACAATGTATGCCACTGGACTTCACTGTGGTCACTGTCCTAATGGGCTTCCTGAGGGAGGTGGTGCCTGTTCCTCCCCCACCTAAAGACGTGGTCCTGTTACTCTCCCTCTTTCCCTGCAGGGCTTTTCTTCAAAACTCTCAGCACCTGCCTAAAAATTTTGCCTATTTATTGCCCACTGCCCCTTCTAGAATATAAGTTCCTTGAGACAAGTATTTTAGTCCCTCTCATTTGCTATTACCTCCTCATGTTAAGACAGCAAGGGCACACAGTTGGGGCACAGTTAAACCTTGAATAAATGAATGAGTGACTCTGCCAGAACACCAAATAAGACTCTGGTTCCAATTTCCACTGTCTTTCCTGTTCCTCTGACTTTCTTCCTTTGGTGCCAGGAGGAGATATGCAGGGAGCATAAACAAGGCTGGGCCTGAAGCAGGGTCAGAGCCTGCACTGAAGGGGGACATGATCCTTCCAGGTCCCAGTCACTTGAGAGTGGACCCTGGGGCCACTGCTGCCTTTGTCCTCCCCCTGAATTTTTTTTTTTTTGCATGAAACCACACCTGTTCACTCCCTGTACCAAATGACTATCCTGGATCCTGTTTTCAAACAGCCCATCCCCAGCTTTCATCCCTTGTCTCAGTAAATATTCACTGAAGCCTGAGGTGGTCCCAGTGAACCTCAGAAAGAGTAGGTTATGAAGAAAAAAAACCTCAGAAGAATGTTTTAGGTGCCAGAAGTAGATGAGCTTGTGGGCGGTTGAAGACTTGTAACAGGAACCAAAAATCACAGCGGCCTTTTGGCATACGGTCAGTACAGTTACAGAGAGAGGGAACATGATGCTCACATGATGCTCAGAGATGGTGCCTGGCCTTGCTACCCCACCAGGAACCCAGCAGTCTAAGGCCCACCTGATAATGCAGCACTGGTCCTTCTTGTTCTTCTTCATGTTGAAGTAACAGTTGTCAGCGATGGCAAAGATGTGAGGTGGCATCTCGCCCACGTGGCGGTTGTAGTACAGCTGTACCTGCTCCAGTGTGTAGAGCGGCAGCGCCTGGAACGGGTTCACAGCCACCAGAATGGAGCCCGTGTATGTCTGCAGAAGGAAGCAGTGGTTAGTGCTTCCACCTTAAGGGCCAGTGCTGTTGGGCCAAGGCATTGGCTGTCCCCCCTTGAGAGCTACCAGAACAGGCTGACCCTGGTGGGGAAGTGTGGCCTGATTCTGGGATGGGGAGATAAAACATTCAGCTGCTCAGATTCTTCCTCGAGAAACATAGAGGTATTCACCATCAATGAGAAATGGCAGAGCTGGGCCCATTTACAAGTACATGAAATGAAGCAGTTGTTGTTGAATGATTAACATCCCGTCCGAGGTTTAGAAGAGGCTTAAGAAAAAATCAGCTGAATGTGTGAAATGAGTTTTCCTCTGCCTCCCTACAGAGGCCCCAACAACATGGCCCGTACCTCTCCTCCTCGGGTGTGAGTTCAGGACCACCCACCCACTCATCTGGAGCCCCTCGGGGGTGGAACAGGAAGAGTCACCTCAAATCACATGAGGATCCATGTGTGGGTTTGCATTTTTGAAATGGAGCAGATAATCTCTGTCTCCAAGGACCGGGACAAACAGATAAAAGAAGGAAAGCATATGCGCTTTGTAAAGGACAAGTTCAGTTTAGCGCATGCTGCTTTCAGTCCGGAGCTTGGATGCACATCCATTCAGAGTGCCGGCCTGCTCCCTCACAGGCCTCCTTTCCCAACCTTCCCTCTATTCGGGAGCCCCAGCTCACTCTCCCATTCCTCCCATTCCAAAGAAGGTCTGTTTAGAATCAAACAGCCACTTCTCCCTGCTCTCCCCATGACAGGCAGGCAGGGACCCCCGCTCCACATGAGGTGGGTTTCAGAAGGTGGGTTTTTCTGTGGGAAAATCTGCATTGGAACAGGGATGCAAGCCTGCGGGTTGAACAACCCTTCCATTCACAGCTAGGCTTTGGGGGAAAGACCTATATCTACCTGATTGCCCTTTGGAATCACAGGACTCACTTCACAGGGAGCATGGTATGCTCCTGGCTAGTGACCCTGTGACAAGCTTGGGAACAGTTGGGTAGAAGCTATGGTGACCCTGGATGGCCAGCAATCTGTCAGCTTCTTGTGTTCCCTCCCCAACCCCTCCCCCACCCCTCAGGGTACTATCACTCTTTTTCTAGGCTTGGGAGCAAAGAAAGGTTAAGATACTGGTCTACCTACCTCACAGTGAGGGTGTGGGGACTGAGTCACACTGCCTGGCTTCAAACCCCCTGAGGCGCATTGTTTTCTTCCCCAGCCAGAATGTGAGCACATGTAATTTGAGCAAAGTGGGGCAGGGATACAACATGTGGACACTGGAACTCACATAGATCTTGTTCTGCTGGTAGCGGATGAGGAGGTTGTGCACCATGCCTGCCTCATTCAGGTCCCCCAGACGGATCATGTCATCCACACCCTGGGCGGAGTTCAGGTGCATGGGGCTGAGAAGGCTAAGCTGCTCTGTTGGGATCCAGTGTTCCTGGAATAAGAGGTACAGATTCCTCTGAGGAGAAGCCTCTGTATGGACCAACACTCTGCATCTTTCCTCCAAGTTCTCAGCATCTTAGCTGGCCTGGGGGCAATCTCAGGCCTAGCTCAATCTGTGGCCAAAGCCAAGGGAGAGCTGTGATAGGCAGGGCACTTGGTGGCTAGAATCAGCCAGATAGCAAGAGACAGAGGTTAGTGTGTATCTTGGGACTATGGATAATTTTCAGATCAGGGTGAGAGGAACTTGTAGCCAGAACAGGTTGGTTGATTGGGGTCAGTTTGTGACTGGGGCTATACAGCTGGTGGGAATAAAAGTTTTAAATCAAAGTGTTTTGCAAACTGCAGAAATACTTTTGTGAATTCAAGATATTGTTACTAATTACTGGCTTCCATAATATGTAGATCTAAGCCACCATCTAGAATCTCCTTGGAGGCCACATCTTCACTTGTCCTACTCTGTCACACCTAGTTCAGCAAAGAGGGCATCTGAAGTCAACTAACCTACTGGACCTTTGAGCCTGCATACCCTTCCCCACCCTATCAACTTACCCCTCAAGCAGCTAAGCTGCCCCCCTGAGGCCACTTCAACTTCCCACCTCTTTCTCGTCTTGGTTGTTTTGCTCATGTGAGCTGAGCCTCATCCCTTTGTCCTCAAATTCTGGGACCCTATCCTCCATGCAGCTTCCTCACACACTTTCTTGTTCTTCCAGCTTACTCTCCTTTACTTTGAAGGTGGGCTTTCTTCTTTCCCTCCTCTCTGCCACATTCCCTTCCCCATCAACTCTCCTGCTCTCCTAATTGTCCCAGTGTTCCACTGCCAGCTCGCTTCTTGCTTTTTCACTATAGAAATCTTCCCTGAGAGACATACAGTGTTCACATGAAAGTCTTCTGTTATGCTTTATGCTGTTGCTAAGTGCCCTCACGTGGGCTCTGGGACCCCCTGGTGTTTAGGAGTAGCCCCTTAGAAGGTATCCAGGGCCCTGGAGGGAGCTGGCTGGGGCTGAGCAGCCCAGCTTCCCAGGAGAATCCAGGAGAACACTGACCTTGCCTTCATCATCTTCAACCAAGATCTTGCTAGGCTTTGTATCCTTGACGACGCCCCCAATGGCCACACTGTTCTGGTTGGCAGAGGAGGTGTCCAGCCACACATGGTCACCCTGGAGAGCAGAGAGAAGGCAGTGTTCATATCCCAGCTCACCTTTTCCCTTCCTACTCAGGACTTACCTTTTGGGGTGTCCCCACTAACTGAGAGCTCCCAAGGTTGGGGGACTTCCCATCTCTTTCCTCTTCTTCCTCCTCATTTTTCTTCTCTTCTTCCTCCTCCGTTGCTCCTTTCTACCCCCATCCTCTCTAGTTCCTACTGGAGGTAGCAATGGGACTTCCCCGGCCTGTCTTGGTTCTAAGAAACAGGCAAGTCATGCTTGCAAGAAATATTCCTTTATGTGAGGCAAAAATAAATAAATAAATAAATAAATATAAAGTCTTTGCCTTGTGAATAGCTCAATAGCACCACAACCCATCTGTGGGGAGAGAGTGAAGGTTAGACTTGTACATAAGGGGTTTCTGCTATCCTGCAACATTGCATTGGCCTACACGAACCTCCTACTGTTCTAGGAGCAGTCACTCCACTCAGAGTAGTAATGCAGGTCTATAAACAAAGATACCGAAATCCAAGTAAGAAAAGGATGAATGCAAAAAAAAAAAAATCAAATCACCAGAGAGCAGTGGTGTGACAAATTATATCACTGATTAAAAAAAAATCACAGACATGCAGATCAGAGGCAAGAAACCCACAAACCTCAGAAATCAGATGCTGAGACAAATGAAAAGGATGAAACATAAATTGGCAGAACTCAGGAAATAAATAGGGGAAAGATGAAATAAGATCCAAAAGAAAACACAAAATTACAAACAAGAATAGAAGAATACCTAAAAGATAATGGAAGTGAAATGTGGGAAAGTAACAGGACTAAGGGTGAACACATATAGTTAGAGTGCTCACCTAAGAAAAACCATAAGAAAAAGAACAGAACAATAATTTAAAGATATAATTCAAGTCAAGTTTCCAGAAACCAAAGAACTCTTGACTATACACACTGAAAATACACTTGGGTGCAAGGAAATAATGACAAACTTCAGCACTTATATAAGTAAAGGTTATTGGGCTTCAAAAATGAAGAACTGATTTGGGAAGGAGTTATAGGTAGACAAAAAAAGATCAGCTTGCTTATTAAGAGTAAGTTTAGGACAAATTCAAAACCTAGATGAGGGTCCAATAACTGTTACATATACCTCAAGGAAGGAACAATCCATCATTGGAGGGGAAAGAAGCCTTGGTGAAGATGTAGAGAGACTGAACTCTTGTATTCAGTTGGTGGGGTTGGAAAATGGTACAACCATTGTCAAAATAGTATAGAGATGCCTCAAAAAATTAAAAATAAAACTACCATGTCGGCCCTCCCTGGTGGCGCAGCGGGTTAAAGCACTGCACTGAGAAGCTAAAGCCACTTCCGCATGAGTTCGATTCCCGCCTGCCCCGGAGGAGACCACATGGCGTGGCAGACCTCGACCCGCCCGCTGCTCCCCTCAGCAGTGTACTTTGTTGATCTGCCTGTTCTGCTCCCCACTCTGTCTCTGGTGAAGCCTCTCACCGCCCCTGAGCCTCTGGCCTGTACCCCAGTTCTGTATGTACAAATAAATAAATCTTAAAAAACAAACAAACAAACAAAAAAAAAAACAAAAAAAAAAAACTACCATGTCTTCCAACAATTCCATTTCTGGGTATTTATCCAAAGGAATTCAGAACAGGGTCACAGTGAGATATTTGTACTGTGTTCATTGCTGTATTTGTACTGTGTACTGTGTACTGTGTACTGTGTTTGTATTTGTACTGTGTTCACTGCTGAATGTCCATGACATGAACAGATCAACAGAATGTAGAATATACACATTAAGTAGTCTTTTTTTTTTTTAAAGATTTATTTATTCATACAGAACTGGGGTACAGGCCCGAGATGTGGAGTGTGAGAGACTTCACCAGAGACAGAGTGGGGAGCAGAACAGGCAGATCGATGAAGTACACTGCTGAGGGGAGCAGCGGGCCGGTCAGGAGAGGTCTGCTGCACCATGTGGATCTCCTCTGGGGCCGGCGGGAATGAACTCATGTGAAAGTGGTTTAAGCATCTTAGTGCTGTGCTTTTACCCGCTGCGCCACCAGGGAGGGCCACATTAAGTAGTCTTACAAAAGGGGGAAATACTGTCTCACACTATAACATTCTATAACGTGGATGGACCTCAAGTAAAATAAATGCAAAATAAATCAGTCACAAAAGGACAAATATGCTATGATTTCACTCATGAAATATCGGAAGTAGTCAAAATCATAGAAACAGAAAGCAGAAAGGACTGAAGGAAGAAGAAAGGAAAAGAGTGTTTAATGGGCATAGAGTTTCAGTTTTTCAAGATGAAAATGTTCTCAGATCTATTATGTAACAATGTAAATACACTTATTAATGACTAAACATTTCAAAATGGTTTAGGTGGTAA